CCAGGCACCCGAAAGGCAAATAATTTTAAATAGCAGCAGAAAATAAGGGGAAAAAATGAAATAGAATGCTAACAGTGGGTTTGGCTAGTAGTTAAGAAACAAAAGTGAGAAACCAGAAAAACCAGTTGAAAACAAGTTAAATATATGCAACATTGTTTTTATCATGGTTTTTAATGTTTAAAGTATGTATGTTTTGAAAAGTGAGTTCATCTTCAGCTCCTAATGAATCACTAGTTTAAAAATGCTGGTCCCCTCTCCTTCAAGTGTTCATGATACTTTTCCCCATATGAGGCATAATTTATTACTCATGAATTTGTATTTTATTCTTGGGACCTTCTGCTTTTATAAATGTTGACATTTATTCCAACAGCAACAAGTGATCCATTTCTGGATTCTGTCCCACCTAAAACTTCTAGAACTCTTGAACAGCCAAGGGCAACACTGGGTAATGTTTTTAACAGAAAAATCCTACTTTGTTTTCCATCAAAAGAAAATCCATGTGAATGCCATTCTTCCAAATGACCATTTCATTCCATCACATCTAATCATTTATTTTGTTCTTACTTCTGAATGTGTATTTTTTTTTTTTGCTGTAATGCAGGCAACTTATGTTCCATTTTAGGCGTTCTCTCTCTCTCTCTCTCTCTCCCTCTCTCTCTTGAACTGTAATAGATGATCATTTTTTCCATCTTTAAAGGAATGAAAAGCTTTGAAAACTGCATGGACCTCTTCATCATCCATATCATCTCATTTCATTCATGTGTTTGTGGCCTGTATCATCTCTCTTCCATGCACTGAGACTGCCTGGAGTCAGACACTGAACAGTTGTCATTCTGACCTTTTCTCTTTTTTAAATCATGATTTCATCCACCAGCTTTCAAGACTACATGCATTTTTCATCCTTAATCATGTATGTGTAGCATGTGCTTTGTAATACCATCTAAAAGCATGTTAAAACTCCTAAAATACCTCATTGTAACTGGAATTACTTGGTGGGTGGGGTGTTTGTGTTTTCAGCTCCAAGTGAAACACCATTTGTCCCTCAAAAACTGGAAATCTTTACCAGTCCTGAAATGCCACCTACAACATCTGGTAACTAATGACATTTTTATGGTTGTGTACTTTGAAAGAACAGAGAAAGTGACAAGAAAAGAACCAGTTTTGTTGGACCTCCAGAATATTTTCAATAGTAAACATTTCCCTTCATTCTCTACCATGAAGTTCTTCCAAGAACTGGGTTATCTGTCAAACTTTGCCTTGGGATAATTCTCAAAGAATTTCCATAATCTTGGTGTCCATATATTTAAAGAATTATTTTCTTTCTGTAATCCTTTCAACTTTGCTTACCAGAAAATTGCAATGGAATTACAGATGATAATTATTTTGGGATATATTTCCTTCTCTTTAACACAATTAGATACCACTGGTCAGAGTATTTTTCTCAAAGTAGTCTAAATATAAAGAGCACCAAGTAGGTTCTGCAATGAGGAAAGATGGGTAAGAGAAGTAATACAGCCTATATTCTATAATGGAAAATTATTTGAATAATGAAGTCCATTAACTCCTGCAGAGGCTAGTCATGAGCTACAGAATTAAAGTAGTTTAGAACTTCCATTCTCAAATCCCAAATATTTGTGCTTCTCCCCTGTTGTTCAGTAACTTATCTTTCACGTTCTTAATTCTACCTTGTGTTCTTAAATCCCTTAAGAGTGCCCACTTCCCAGTACTTGTAGCTCAACAATGTACCTTCAGTTTTTATATAGACACTTAATTCATTTGGGGCCAACAACACATTTATTGAGCACCTACTGTGTATAAAGCACAGTGCTGGGCATTTTGGGGATACAAAGAAATAAAAAGTAGTTCTTGTATTCAAGAAGTCTACAAATTTACAGTTATAACCTGATTGGCCCCTGAAAAATATTACTTATCAAAGCTATATTAAATCTTCTTTCAGCTGCCCAGCAAACTACATCTATCCCTTCTACACCTAAACGACGCATCAGGCCCAAACCACCAAGAACCAAACCTGGTAAATAACTGCCTCTTTAACCTCTCAGGGTATTTAATTCCAAATAGAGAATGTCCATCTCCTTATCATAAAAAGAGGTTATATGATTCTATAGGTCAAATTTTCTTTACAAAATTTGAAAATAACTGAAGATGAATAATTCAAAATAACAGAAGTCAATTTTTCAAGAAGACTTTGAGAATTATGTCAGTGATGTTCTTGCATGTGAATTTTGGTATAAACCCAGAAACAGGTCCTAATGTCACAGTGCTAGAGAGTAAGATCTATAGTGAAATTCATTTCCTTGGTATGCATGTGTATTTAGGTGTTTATTAGGTTGACAGTTCTTGTTTTGGGTGCCTGCTTATGTTTTCAGCTTGAACAGTGGCAGAGGCTAACAGGAGAGACCATGACTCCCTCTGTCCAATTGCTTATAATCTTAGAAAGATCTTATGGCATAAAGAATGAGATCAACATAAAACTATACAATCTTCTTATGAGACTATAATACTTGTATGGAAGCTTAGAAAAAAGAAAGAGTTGAGGATGTAAGTCTCAAAATATGTGTAGGGTTCAGATGAATTAGAAGGCAGAGGGAACAACATAAACATACCTTATGGCACAGAATTTGAATGGTACAGCTAGCTTCTCTGGAGGTAATATTTTTCATTGTCAAATAATACACTCAGAATTGCGCTCAACAAATCAAGTTTTGCTTATTCCATGGTAGGATAAATAGTTTCTTATAGCCTTTACTACTATGACTGAACTTATAAATTATTTCCCAAAACTTGTACTCACTGCATTTGTAAACCCTGACAGCTAAATACAGTAGGATTTCGAAAGGGTCATTTAGTTCTTCTTGGCACGATATCTTTTTATTGTCTCTAGGATATCTTAATTTTTTTTTTCCTTTCCATCACCAGAAAGAACCACAAGTCCTGGAACAATTACACCTAAAATTCCTAAAAGCCCTGAACCTACATGGACAACACTGGGTAATGATATGTCCTTGGTAGATGCGTTACTTCATTTAACCATGAAAATCCAGTGCTTTAGCTTTTGTGTAATGTCTCAGTCTCTGTTCTAATTGATTCATTTTAACAATATTGAGAATCTCATAAAGTATAGCAGCTTGGTGGCTTTCATGGTTTTCAGTAGTTGGCCCCACAGTCAGTACATGTGAACTCCGCATCCAGCTATCATCCTGTACCTTGAAACACTGGCAAACCACTGTGGCCTCCTCCTCTTCCATCCACCATTGTGTGTGAAGCAGAGTCTTAAACACAGTCCTTCATTTTTTTTTTTCTTGAGGGAGGCCCTCAAGTTCAACCTCAGACTTCCTTTGGAGGAACAGTATTCTATTATGATGTTAGTAGAATTTCTTTATACTGCATACCATGGCATTTTACCTATCAGTGATTATTCATTTTAAAACATGCCTAAAGACTTGGATGTGGCTGAGAAATGTGAAGTAAGGGTGCAAGATGATTATATTGATTTTTTTTTAAATAATGGAATAGAATAATTTTCTTTGTGTAGTTACTCTGGCTATAGCAATGCTGTTTCTGTTAGTTCAAATATACTCTTGAAATGATTTTTTCCAAACCAGATGAAAATTTATCACTGTTTTTCCATTAAATGCTGGTCTGTGAAATAGTCCTTCAACTGGAATATTTCCAAAAACTTTCCAACATGATGGGTTCATTCCATTTAAAGTATAGGTTTTCCTTTTGTGGTTTTAGACACTGAAATGCTTAAATATTGATTTGTTGTTTATTTTCTTTACTTTTCCAGCTCCCAGTAAAACACAGTTTATTTCTTTGAAACCTAAAATTCCTCTCACCCCAGAAGGGACACCCACCAAACCTGGTAATTACCCTGGACTTTTTTTTTTTTAATTCCAAAAGCAGGGTTGAAAAATTGTTTCATGCCGCTCTTTGGAGCAATGACTTCTGATTTGTATTTTGTTATTTGATACAATTTTTCCATGGAAAGTGCAAAAATGCATTGAAATGATCTCATTATAACCAGCCCCTCTGATATTATCACAGTGTTGTTCTGAGCTGTTGGGTGGATCTTTCTGTTCATGACCATCACAGAAAATATAGAAATAGAGGGATGGGAGTGATTGAGGACTCCATTGTCTAGGACCAATAAATAGTTTCCAATACCAAAGTGGACTGGAATTCTGATCACACTGAACAATAGCCTTTCAGCATGAAAGGGGAGAAGTGTTTCCATCCCCTAAGAATTTTGCCTTTGTTTTAGGGCTTCAGTTCTCCAGCTGCAAGATTAGAAAAAGTCAGATTCTCCTAATGCTCCATGACTTCTTTCTGAGATGAGGCTGATTTCTGAACACTGACTTTTGTTTACTTCTCAGGAGATAATAATGTTTTGCTGAAGAAAAGAAGGCTCTTTTGCAGGGAGAGGTTATTTCATTTACGTAATTAATAACAGAGACAGTCCCCTGCATATAGATGGCAGGACATATTGAATGACAAAACTTTTCATTTTTTTCTATCTATTCAGAATCTATACAGCAGTTTAAATCTTGACTTCTAAGTATCCCCTTATATACAGGAACTCTGTCAATACAAATCATTTTCATCCAAATTTTAAACCATTATCTCCAGGGTTTTTCTCACTATCACATTCTATGGATTTTTCATTAATGGGTGTTTACAAAGTTGGATCATTAAAACAGAAGATTTTCTCCTTAAATGGGTATGATTTATTTTTTTGCAGTGAAATGGGTAAGGAAGAAAAATGTAACTGCTCAGAAAAAGAAATCTCAACACTCCTTTTAAAGAGGCAGTGAGATTTCCAGGTGTAGGTGTCAGACTGGAGGAAATTGGGGATTAGGCAAAGGGAGTGTAGTTGACTCTGTGACCATAGGTGAGGTCTCCAAGTCAGAGAAATGGAATGAAGTATTCTTACTCAGAGGGGTTATTTGGAGAAAGAAGCATAGCTAATGAAACTCAAGAGCCTTAACAGTTTAAATCAAAGAACTTCAACAGCTGTAGGAGAGAAGGGTTTAATGTATGTTTATTTAAAATCATGCTTAGAGGGCTTTGGAATAAGGTCATAACTATTATACTGTACTTTGAAGAGAGGGCTATTACCAAGCAGATTGAGACATATTACCATGTGTTTAGACCACCAAATTTAAATAAATGTCTCTCCAATCTAAGTATTTGTGTTATTACAAGATAAAATTTGAAAAGAGGAAAAAAAAAAAAAAAGCCTTCAGATATTCCTAACAGTTTAAACATGATTAGTTACATTAGTAATTTCATTGGTTTCTAAAGAAATGTTTAGAAGAAATTCATTCATACAAATAAGGGGAGAGGATGTGTTCTTATCATTCTCAGCTGTTTGAGCAAAGAGACTTCTTAATTTGACATTTCCTTTTACCATGTGGCAAATTATTTGAAAGCTAATGAGTTTATATTCCTCTGATTTCTACCTTCTGATCACCTAAGAATAGCCACGCTTTTCCCCCTCGCATGAAGTATCATGACTTCAGAATCTGCACCTAAATTTACATCCACTTAAGTTGACCTTTGGTGGTCTGAGACAACACAGAGTAACTGATCTCCGCAAACCAGTGCTTGGGTTCTAGCTCTTTAAAATGTATTTATTTTTACTTTAGGACAGGCCACCATTATAGCTCTGTGGAAGATTGCTGTTGCTAGCCAAGGTTCAGGAGAGCAAAGAAACCACCAAAAGCTTTTTTTATTTGAGTGATTCATTGTTTTTCCCCGCCCTCTCCTCACATGCTGTTATTTTTCCATCTCACTTTCCATGCAGATTGCTTTTCCTTTGGTTTTCCTTTGTGGTTAAACTAACGAGTAAAAACCCATATTGGGTTTGACTTGTTTTATAAGCATAATCCACCGCTTTCTTGAAAATCCCACCATCTACCATGTCCCGACTTGTCTGCCTCCAATGAGAATTGCTTCCTTCATAGTTCACCTTTAAGATGGTAGGGACATTCGGCTCTTCAGGCTTTTAACAGACTAGGAAAAAAAAAAAAAGAGAGACCTCCAATTATAGGTGTTTGTTTTTACACAGTTCTCTGACACAGTGGATAGAATTGTAAATTTTTCTCATTGCTAGTCACAAATTGTGAGCCAGGCGTATTTTTCTTTTGTGCTGAGGTGAGTGGTGTAGTTATTTGCTTGCCGCTTAACATTTTTATTCCTTTATCTGCAATACCTTAAAATTATAAAATAGAGGAAATCTTGTCAGAAGATGTATTTGCTTTTAATAAACCCTGACTTTAGTATTTCTCTGTACAGGTGAATTGGAGGCTTAATTGAGGGGCTCCATACCTATTTGGTCTCTGTTTCAGTCAGGAACTCAAAAATGCAGATTTTTCTTTAGAAAATTCATAAGACCACATTCTTTAATCTCTGGAAATTCTAAAAGATGCTACAAGTAGCAAATCTTACTTTTTCACAGTTTTAGAAGGCAACTTGGTAGAAATTAAGACATGAATTACAGCCTCAAAATTTCAAAAAGAATTGGACTTTTCTGATAGTTATTATATTTAATGTATTGACACTTACTATTTACTTACCCTATCTCCTGTAGAATCTGAGACACCCAGGCTCCTCCCACCCTCTCTCTTTTTCTCTTTTTCTCTTACACACACACAGACACACACACACACGATTTTTGCCTTGCCATGTGTACTTCGATCTGATATATCACTTCGGCTTTGCCATTTATCTATTTTAATCTATTTCTGGGTAATTTCTTGAGAAATAAAAAAAAAATCTATTTCTGGCCACAGACATGCTAATGCCACCTTTCAGTAACACCTTGTACCTATTATACATTGCTTTCAGAATAAATGAAAATTCTCTACCTGCAATATTTGTTGGTATATTTTCTATTTTTTAGATACTAAAGAGTCTCTACTTACTTCCCCAAATCTTTCCACAGCCCCTAGTCCAGAAACATCATCCTGCTAAATGTAGTATAAAAAATATAAGTGACAAAATGATTTAAGTTCTTTTAAGCTTGTTGGTAGATGCTATGTTAATTAATTTCTTCTGTAAGAAAAAAACGGTGAAGAATCTTCACTTTTTCTTCTGTTTCAAAAATTGAGTTCCTTTTTTATATTCTTCTTGAAAGAGAAGAATTCTTTTTGTTCTGTAGAATAGGAAATCTATTAGATGATCATTTTAAAAGCACAAACAGATATTGTAACCAAACTATATTCAGCATGAAGTATCATTTAATTACTGCCAATTTGAAAAACATTGGAAGGATCGTTATCTTTCAGAATATTTAAATAATATTGTTATTTTATTTGTTCAGTGTTTGATGAAATCTGAGATTACTTTTTGACTTTGATTTGCTAACCAGAATGGACTAAATTTCATATGTAAACCAATTTGTTCACCAGCAATAAATGCTAGTTAATATGAGGAACAACATAGGAACACTTGAGGCCCTTTTTACCTTTTTAAACCATATGTTCAATTCCTTTTTTTTTTTTTTAATTGTGAAAGAGTCTCAGATCCAGCCAGGTTGAAAATCATCCAAAACTAACAGATCTCAGACCTGGTTATAGGTCTGATGTTTCTGTTGCCTCTTCCCACTTCCTTGGATGAACCTGACCATCCTACATGAAAACAAAATGGCAGGAGATGGGACACTCTGGCCAACTTTGGAGAGGCTACCCTGAGCTCCCCTTAGAGCAGTATCTCCTCAGGCACTAGGAGGAAACCTCAGAATATTGGGTAGGGGAGAAAATAGCTAAAAATCAACAAAAAACTGAATTCTCATTTCTTAGTTTTATTGTGGTTTGTGGAAAGGACGTGGGTTGATTGATCGTTAGTGTAATAAGCCATAGAATCTGATTGTTTACCAGTGAAAGAACAGCTTTTAGAGTAAAGGACCTTTAATTTCTGTCTTAAATGGTGATCTGCAGCATGGCCTTTGATAATAACTGTTTTATTGCAGCCCCAGAACCTCAGACTCTACCACCATCACAGTCAACTCTAGGCAATGAATCAAATTTCCTTTGATGAGTGAAAAAGAAGCCTCTTCCTTTAGTACCCTTTATGTTCAATTTTGTCCTTAGCTTGGGCTTTTTAAAAATTTCTTAATTGTCCTTCAGGTGTTTATTTCAGCCATTTTGGTCAGAAGATACACTCTTTGCTTGTGCTTAACTAAGCAGAGGCTCTGAAAACCATACTGATTTTGATTGGACGCATTCTGTGTCGTCTTGTATTTGAGTACTGTGTCCTGAGCTTGTTTTAACCTAGCTGTTTCCAGGGGAGGACCTTGGCTTACTTCTTTTTGTAGACATTTTTGTGTTTTCACATTCAGAGGTGTTTATCTTACTTTCAAAACTCTAGCATTCACAGATTTTCTTGAAAAGTAGTAGGATCTTTCCAGAGCTAAACATCCTGATGTGTCACTAGACAATTCATTAAGAGAAATAGAAAACCTAACCCCAATATTTATAGCTTCTTTTTCTTCAAGAGAGCAAAAAAATGTGTTCTGCTGATGCCATCTCAGCCAATTACCTGTATTTTCCTTCATAACACAAACTTTTGGTCACTTTATTGCATTCATGTCTTCCAAATGAGAATCATGCCTTCGTTTGTTTGTTTTTTTTCCATTTCTCCTTCCAAACTTAACTGACAAGACTACATTTTTGTTCATTTCGTCTAAAAACACAGGAATCTATTTAAATAAAAAAGGACTATCTCACATGGGTAAAAGTTTCATCAATAATCGCTCAACTTTGTAATGAGAAATCAAGGATTTTTCATATCTAAATAGGTTTTATCATTTTTCCTTTGATTTTGATTCTTTCCTGATGGTTTTCATGCACTCTTAGGACCTGGAACTCTGGAAACCAAACCTTCAACATTAGGTAATGCAGTTATTGAGTGAGCTGTGTTTCCTCTTTTCCTGTCTACTGGTATCTTAGGACCAGGCTCACATCAATGGAATCATCCACTGATACCCATTTGTGTGCGTGTGTTCTTTGTTCTTACTTGCAGAGAAAAAAAATTTAAATTCTTTAGTTTTATACACTGTATCTCATTTTTAAAAAGTTGTCTTGCCTGAAATAATTTCTGAATTCAAAGCCTTTTTATACATGCTGTGTTAACTTGTAAACTTTTTAATGCTAAATGAAAAACTTCTCCTTTTGAATCTCAGGCCAAATAAATTTTAATTTGTATCCCTAGTGGCTCCTTAAAGGTGCCTTTCTCATGTTCCTGGTAAACATGCACCATCAAAACTTTCAGGAGACTGTCTTCTCTAAGGCCTACAAAGTTTTGAGCTTTCCATCTCAAAATGGAAGAATATGTATATATATGTAAGAATATGTTAAAGACCTCATTTAACTGGGTAAATGAGGATAGGAAGTTGCAAAACAGAAGGGTATATACGCACAATAAGCCAAAGGACTTAAATGCGCTTCTACGGTATATGCAGTATTGTCCGTTTTTAGAGCTACTGCTCTTGTATTAACTAGCTAATTTTCTTTCTTCAGCTCCACCAAAGACCAAACGACCAGGTCGTCGCCCCCGCCCTAAAACCACACCTAGTCCAGATGTGCCCAAGTCCAAACCTGGTAAATGTGATGTTCAGGGTTCCAGTTAGCATAGAAAATGGAATATGGTAGTTTTTGATACGGTAACTTCCTACTACCTAAATAGCTGGGCTTCAAGAACCAGTATAGTTGATTTTTATATTTAAGCATATATCCTTCCTATGTTTATGATATATTGTTATTTTTTACTTGTAACTATTAGGTACACACAGCAGTAGGCTGCCCACCAAGTGGATTATTAAAGTAGGGCACCCTAAAAGTCTCACATAGGATGTGGGTTTATGGCAAATGGGGTGTGGGAAAGCAAGAGGAAGAGGGGTAAATGGGAAAAAAAGAAGGGAAAATCACATTCAGAAAACATAGGGCTTAAGAATGAGGAGTAATGTTTCCTTCCTCAAGATGCTGCTGCTTGATATAATTAGTGTTCTTGCTTTTTGATTCCCTAGCTCTGGAACCTGCTACGGTACCTCTGGAGCTCTCGGTGCCCACAATCGGTAATTCTACTCTCCTCCAGTTGCTTTCACGGAATGTCACTTTTGCTTTTCCTACTCTCCACTCAGGCATGACTGCAGTTCCACCACTCCATCACAATTTCATTCCATGCTTTTCCTCACGTTTCCTATCTGGGTCTGAAGAGCCTGAAGATAGGAGACTTCTAGAAGAATCCTACCTGTGTGCTCCTTTAAGGAAGGTCTGTGGTCTTAGAAGCAACTTCTTGGTTCCCCACAAACCCTTTCTCCTTCCATGTCCTTCTGTTGAGAAAACCTTCTACTCTTTCTCAGACAGAGACTTCTGTGCTCATCCTGGACTTGACAAAGGGTGAAATTTTATTCTAGTGCCATGATTATCATTTCATTGCTTTACTCATTCAACTTGTAAGATCTTTTCCCTCTTAAAAAGCTGCATGAAATAATGGCTTCTTCAGCTTTCTGTTTCTTTGGAGAATGTTTTTGAGTATATTTTGATAACTAGAGGCATAAACACCGTTCTTGTTCTAGGGTCCAATATGAAAATAGTGTGGTCTTTGTAACTTGAGAACATTAGAAGTCCCAAACTTGTTTTATTGTTTTGGGTACTAATGCTATTTGACTATTACTATTTCATTATAATTTCTCAGCATTCACAATAAATCTGCTTTACTTTGGAAAATTCCAGAAATCTGTAGCCACGTCACCTTCTGTATAATTTAAAGTGTTTATGGATTATTTTCCAGGTCTCCTACTAAGCAAGTTTCAAATTTCTACTTAATATTTTTATGCTGAAACACCTTAGAATTATAAAACTATTGTACTTGTCATCTCTAAAATTACTTTTATAGAAAAAAGTCTTATTATCGTTCTATTACTTTGCTCAAAGGCACATTTTGAGCATTTCCTAAAAATTTTTCCTTTCTGAAAAAGCAGGAGAAATGGACACATTTCCCATCCTTCCCATGCCCCAGGAATTAATTTTGTTGTATATCCAATGAATTAATGTAGGATCTTTGCTCAAGCATATGTGTCTTTAATTATGACAATTATGGCTATGATCATTATGCTAATTTTTAATACCTTTCTCTTTAGCGTCAAAACCATCCAAAAGACCTAAAACCACACATAGACCAGATGCACCTCAAATCCAGCCTGGTAATCACTACTTTCACTGCCTTGATCTATAACTAGGAAAATGGTGTGTAAGTAACACTAATCTTGACATTCACAGCTCTGCTATGACACTAATTATAGGACCTTTTTTCCTTCAGATTCAAAACCACCAAAGCAATTACTTCCTAAACCCCAAACTCCAGCACAACCAGTTACGCCACCAACTAAACCCGGTAAACATGATTTCCAGTGCTTTAGTTTAAGAAGCTTTTTCTTTGGGAAATTGTTGTTGAAAATGTTTACAATTTGCCATACTGTATGAAGCATGGAAACCAAAATATGATTTTGTTCATTATCTTTTCAAAGTAACTACATCAATTGTTAAATGAACAAACCAATGGGTAGGAAGTTAGTGAATTTTACATCTGATAGTCTGACAGGTTCCACTTTCTTAACATTTTTAGACTTTGTTTTCTGAATTTGGGTATGTAATGAATAGAAACCTGATTTTTCTGTACCTAGAACATATTTGAAAGTGATTTTAGCGTTCACCACTAGGTAAGACTGGGAAGGCTTACACTGTGTTCATGCTTTATAGGCACATACTCAGAGATTGACGTTCTCTAAAATACCTTAATAACATTTTAAACAGCAATATTACCTAAGTGATTTCCTATGAAATAAAAAGATATTTTTATAACAGTTCTAAAAATTCAACTGTTTTGCAATTGAAATTTTCTCCTAAGGTTCCAGTTAGTACAAAATTCTGATTTAGTAAGAGTATCTCTCATAATAAGCTTATGAAGAAGGCAATTTATATCAACTTAGAATAAACCAATATCCTATGAATTGAGCATCAGTGAACACCTGAAAGTTTAGACCTCTTTATTTTTCTTACTTGTATCTGTTTATTTTTTATGATGCAGTCTTTGAGCCTGTTACATTTGAGACGGAAGCTCCCTCCCCAACCATAGGTAATGATGTCTTCCTTCTTGGTTGATGTTTCTCTGAGCTCGCCCCTCTCATTTCTATCAAGAACTGTATTCTCTTATGTATACGATGGTCATTCATCATCTTTTTCATTCATTATTTTCAACAGGGAACTTTTCAACATCAAAAGACATTCTTACTTATGCTGCTCAGTTTATAACCCCTGAATGTCATTCTTCCTTTGATCACCTTCAGAGGATTCAGATTCCTTGCAGCAACTGACGCTGTCAAGAGTTGCAGGGGCTGAGAGCACATCCATCCTACAATCCAGGAAATCTTTGAGATTTCTGCTTTTATGTGTCTATAGTTTATGGTTATGGGAGAGGAGCAGTTAAAACCTGGTTGGGGCTTGAGGCAATACCTAATTGTCCCTTTCTCACAAAAGTCCTTTCCTCTTTGATTCTGTACTATTCAAATGAACCAGGACATTTCTGCTGACAAATTCATCTTGTGACACTGATTTCTAAGCAAAACAGGGATCCCCTTTTTTGTTTGAAGGCAATCAGTTTTGGATATTGTTGCATCCTGTTGTGCTTGCTTTCGCCATCTCTTCTGTAGGCCATGTTTTCCATTAATTCCCTATAAGATGTTGTCACATGTGGCTTAAACCAACTGCTGTGACATACTAGTCACTGAAAGGCAATCTCCATACGAATGCTCACATCAGTATCATGAAAACACTGATAAGATGTTAAATGTTACATTTAGTCTTCTGGACTTGATGAAAAATAGAGATGCCAGTTTAAATCCAAGGAGTTACACATCACAATTAATTTCATATCTATGCATAATTCAATCATTTCAGAATATTATAGAATTATAAGAATCCTGTTTATATAGACAAAAAGTTGAATTATTACTCTTCAGACTTTTTTCTTAATCATCTCTATTGCCCACTTGAAGAATTATCTCCAAATTATTCATTTGAAATGAATAAAAAAGGAGAAATAGTAAGAAAGAGTACCCCATTTATTATGGAGAAAAGGCACAAGTTTATCTTTTGCATAACTGTCACACATCTCCAATAAACAGGCTAATTGAGAACATTTTTAAAGATTCTCCTCACTACCGCAGTTCCTCAAAACAAATAACAATGGTGGTGAAAGCCTTCCAAATACTAACGGAAGCTTTTGCAGTTTTTCAGGGTAATTTAAAATACATATTAGACAACTGAGATGTTTTTGGAACCAAGTTTCCAATGTAGTTGGAATCAGGTAATTAAATACAGATAAAAGCTTTTCATTGGCCTCATAGGGATGCAAAATACAAAAGGTATGTCTATTTTATGAGATAAATGGATACCAGAGTACAGCCAGTTATTAGAGACCAAATACTATTTTTACAGTGTTCAGAAATGCTTTTTAAACATTACAGGGTATTCATTTTCAAGATAATTTTCCTTCTTTTTGTATATTTCTTAAATCTCTATTATTTATTGCTTTTGGTCAGTTCCTGCCACAGACCTTGAACCTGTAACTCTGAGAACTGAGAGTCCCATGACAACGTTGGGTAATGACTTTTTATGTCTTTAAGCAAGTGTATTTTCTGCCCATTGTCTAGTCTTGTTGCTAACTTGGTCAAGGGGTTTTCTTTTTCTAAGATTTTCTCATCGCCCTCTCTTGTCACTCAACTCTATTCTTCATTTTGAATATTGAGGATGTTTAAAAGAAGTTACTCGGTTAATTACTTGGTTAAGCCTGTATGCAGCTAGTATAGAGCATCTATCTTCCATATTATCCAGCTTTATTGGTGCTTTACAGAGCCTGTGATTCTGCTCAGTGTTCTATGGCAAAGCTAAATTTCAAATACAATTAGGAGTGGCTACTCTAAATCATCAATTTTAACTCTATGGACATGGACAGAAGGTTGTGTTAAGATAGGGCATTTTTATTGTCTACCAATGATTTTAAGAAATGAAATGTGCTTATTCTAATGTTTAATGGGATGTATGTCTAAGGTAAATAATTTCGAAGTACGATCTCCCAAAAGCAGGTGAACCTTGGTCCCTCTCTGATATGGACGTACTGTGTTTCTGGGGTCAGGATCCCTTTTGAAAATCTGACACCAATAATAATAAGCTTTTTGGATTATTAGAATAATGTTATATACTCTTTCTCAAAAGAATGGTCAGTGGACCCCCCCCACAATTTCTTGCATGTAGATGATAAAATTCCAAAACCAAAGAGATAAATTTATTAAGGCTTAAAAAAATCTAGCAGAACTTTAGAAAACCTAGACCCATGTATCATCCTTCTTGAGTTTCTGGAGTTATAAGACAACATTAACCAGTTTCCTTTCTTCAGCTCCAAAAACATCACAACGACCAAGAACACGCCGTCCACGTCCCAAACATAAAACCACACCGAGCCCAGCTGCATCTCAGAGCAAACTAGGTAAATATGTGGTTCCTGGTACCTGTGGAACCCTGTGGATGTGATTCTTGTGTGGCAGTTTAACTTGCCACCTAATAGCTCTTGGGACCCTTCAGTGTGAAAGCCTAAGTAACAGGAGCTCTATTTAAATAACTGTGATTTCCTTGTGCTGCTTGGTATCTTCTTGGCACCTTTGTATTTTATTTGCTTTCTCTGAAAAATCATATTTTTCTCTTTGATTCTGGTTGATCAAAAACTTACCTAGTTAAGGATCTAACTAGCATATTTAGTTCACTTAGTCACACATTTTATTAAGTGCTACGTTAGCATCTGTGAAAAATAGTTTAGAAATAACAAATGACTTCACTTGGTTGAGGAAAGAAATTTCTTATGTAGACACTGTTCATAAATAGATATAAAAGAATATGGGCAGAAGCAACATATTTATTGAGTTTGACCAACTGTCAGGCACATAGTTAACTCTTAGAGAAGTAAAAGATTCACAAGCCGCTAAGTGTAATGTGGACCTCGAAATTTATAGAGCTTGTAGATCGGTTGCGGGGATAGGCAGGAATAGCATAAACAGAGGCGGGGAGGTACCGTATGTGTGGGTGAGAGCAGAAGGATAGGAATTAGAAGGGCAACCTGATTGGGAGAAAGGGGAAAGACAATGTTCACCTAGCTTATGCTGAGAAATTTTGGTCAGTGATACCCCTTTGAGATGGGTCCATGAAGAGGACCTTGAATGCCTAATTTCAGTGATAGGATTTAAGCCAATTAGCTACAGCATACTTTCTTATCCTCCTGGGGTCAGGCCTTTTCTGTCCTGATAACAGAGAAATGCACTGACAAGTTTTGCAGACCGAATGATCCTCTGTATCTTGTTCTTTTATATGACTTTGTTTGGACAGAAGTCTTGGTCTTCTTCCAAAGTGGACTCTCAACAACAACAACAACAACAACAAATCTGTTTTGGTTATTCATTACAGTATCTGCTTAAAAATATCAACTATTTCATCTATCATGACCTTGTTTTCCAGTAAATTATACTTTCACATTCTTTTCTCATAATTTTTAATCTTAATGTTACTAGACAGATGCCTAAAGATTTTTCTAAGCAGCGTTTTTTTATTGTTGTTGTGTTATCAGATAATATAAAAACAAACAAAACTTGGAGCCATGTGGAGATACTAAGGATATAACCGTTTCATAAGAACAAATATCTTTGTACCCTCACCTCAGAACTTTAAAATTTTTGCTTTTTAGTTGTAGAAACTGTGCCACCAGGTGAAGTTCATTTTCAAGAGAGTTTGATGACTTTTCTCATGTGTTTAACATTTCTTTTTTCAATTACTTTGGATCATTGCTTGCTACAGACTCTGAACCTATTAGTCCCGGGACATATTTAGGTAATGATCATTTATGTCCTTTAGCAAGTGCTTTTTCTTATTCATTGTCAAAGTTCTCTGTGGTGCTATATAGATGATGATGTCATAATTTGTCATCATCCTATTACAGTATTCAGCTTACAGTATAAAAGGCTTTCTTGCTAACAGAAATGCGTATGGACTTAATAAAGACCACTGTCTGCCCCACATCCCAGCTTCAGACTGCATCATGTCAATCTGAGTCTCTGTTTAAACAATACTGTGTGTTAGAGCTAAGGTCCGAATATGATTCTCCATATATCCCCTCCTTAGACCACCAGGACAATATTGATTATGATACCATGAATTTTCTTTAGGCCATCTTACTTTCTATATTTGAAGTTCTCCCTAACTTTTTTTCACTTCATGGATGTTTCAGCGAATTTCTTATGCTTATTCTAGTAAATTACCAAGTGGAAAATTTGCCCAAGCTTAGTCATTTTAAATTATAATTAGAAGTGAATACCCTAGGGTGGTTTGAACTTCTCTCACATCACCATATTTTAGGAGCAATTTGTAACCAATTTTGGATTAGGGACACTTTCAAAGAAATGACAGTTCCCCATCTTCATTTCTTAAACATAATTGTATTATAATTTTTAATCTTTGGCGAACTCTTAATTTTAAAAGGAAACCTATTAATATACTAAAGGAGAAAATATCAAACCAAAGTAGCAAAGCTTTCGCCACTCAAACTGACGAATTTTAGAAAGCTTAGCTATGTGATATCATTTTATTTAGAGTTTATGGAGCCATCAACACTATACTAATCCTAAATTTTCTTCCTTCAGCTACAACAACAAAGAGACCTCGTCGTCCACGCCCCAAAGCTAAAACCACATCCCATCCAGAAGTACCTCAGACCAAACTGGGTAAATATGTGGTTTCCAGTTTAAGGAATTCAAGCAGTCTACCCCAGTTGGGACCCTAAATTCTGAGGATACCTAGTCTAATATAGTATCACAAACAGAGGTTCTTCCTTACCTTTTTATATCAAATGCCACTCTTTTTGCTAAGGACTTAGTCTCTCAGCGAGTGTAGTATCCGCTTCCTTTTGGCTATCTGTAGTATGTGCGGTAAACAGACCTTAGGGTGACCCCCTTCTCCCCACCCCTGCTTCGTCCAACTCCCTTAGTTCCTGCTCCTTGGTATTAAACATAGTGTAAGCCATCTTTTCCCTGCTCTTTCCACCTTAGAAGGCATAGAAGCATTATTTTTACTGGTAAAATGGATTTTCTGACATTTCATGCATTCATAAAAATCTCTTTGGTTTCTCTCATTGATTTTGATCAGTTCCTACCACAATCTTTGAACCAGTTATACTTAGAACGGAGGCTCCAGTGACCACACTAGGTAATGACACATTATGTCCATCAGCATCTGCTTTCCCTGCTCATTTAAAACCCATTTCATCACCTTCATAACCATAGCTGCTTCTGCTTCACAGGACTCGCATGTCATCCTCTATTGTCATTCAGTTACTCTTAATATATTGGAGAGTATGAAAATCACTCATTTGTTTTTAAAAGAGCCAAATACGAACTTAGTCTAGAATATGCGTCTGCAACATAATGCATGTGAATTTATGGCATCTCACCTCCATGTAACCTATTTTTGTTTCTGAGTTTCAAACATATGGGGGTTGGGGGTGAAGATATCTATCCTTGATCTAAGCTGAGTATTGTCACAGCTGTTACAGTGTGACATAATTCTTGAGCAGATCTAAGTTCCTACATTTTTATTTTGTGCATGATATTGGTTTTGTTTTGCCATTTCAGGTAATGATGTGGTCTTCTTTCAGTAAAGGGTGAAATAGAAAATATGCTCAATGCTAACGAATTTAAAGTGCCATCATTAGTTTAAATTTACCCTACACCTTCTCCACCACCGCCACAACTCAGTAAAGTTTTGGAACTTTTTTTCATTTAGAGATCCTTATGAAAATATCCTTGATATATAAACTCATGTTTCTGTGTGACTTTTGTCTTCCAGCGTAGTGTAAATGACATAAAGAGGCAGTTATTGAAATGGAAGCAAATATTTTAAGCTCAAAGGAAAAATCTTCTGACACTTCAGAAAATAGAACTAGTATACTCCTATCCACAGCTTCTAGCCCTAAGAACACTCTGTTAACCTGAGGTTTTCTTCCTTCAGCTCCCAAAGCGCCTCAGCAAACTCATCATCCACATCCCAAACCTGAAACCACAGGGAGTCCTGAAGCCCTTCAGACTGAACTGGGTAAATGTGTAAATCCTGGTTAAGCCCATCCCGTGGGGTCCAGAGAAAGTGAGGGAGCAAGTCAGGGTTAGCAGCTTTTTCTACTCTAGAGTAGCCAGTGAGAACGTGGTTGGAGGGCTTTAGGTGGTAGCTGAATTTCTTACTCTTGTGAATTAGAATCTTCTCTCTAAATGTTTGATTTCTCATTCAATTCTATTCATCCTTTAAATATTGAACGTATGTGGTAGAATGAAATAGCTACAGAATGAATGTATGTTTGGGTAAATAAGAAATTGTTGTTGTTATGTGCCAGGCACTATTGTTAGTACTTCATTTTTTTCCATTTTTTCCATTTTTTTAAATTTGAATTCAATTAATTAACATATAATGAATTATTGGTTTAAGAGGTAGAGATTATTTCTTGTTAACTACAAAGTTAAGGCATAATGAAGGTCTAGGGCAGAAGTTGGCAAACATTTTCTATAAAGGGCTAGATAGTCAATATTTGGGGCTTTGTGAGCATATTTTGCATATTTTTCCTTTTTATTTTACAACCACTTAAAAAATGGAAAAAGTCACCCTTAGCTCTCATGGGCTATATGAAAATAAGCCATGGGTGAGATTTGGCCTATGGGCCATCATTTGTCAACCCTTGATTTAAAGAAACAATAATCAGGGAAGGATTGAGTGTTGAAATCACTGTAGATTTGGATGATTGGGGAGAAGGAGGTTGGAGAAGTACAGAAAAGAAGGACATGTGTGGAGGGCCAATGAGGAGAGAGAGGCTTCTCTGAGCAGTTGAGGCTGTCAGGTTTCTAAGTGTTGATCAGAACATTTCATTGAGGCTGCTGCAGCTAAATGGGCCCAAAGGACCAGTTGAAAAGGTATTTTGAATGTTGGACTTAGGAGTTTGAATTTCCTGTGAGAATCATCAGTATCTGTATATGGTCATGCTTTCCCTGCTTACCCTGCTAAAGCTCAGACTGAGAGCCTGTCCCTTATCCTGCTCTCTTAAGAGCCTAATCCTAATCCTAAAGCCTAATCCTATTAGGCAAAGTTCGTTGTCTCTTTCCAAAGATGAGTTTCCAGCAAGATTGGTATGGTCTATTTTGGTACACTAGGTATTTTGTACACTGACACTAGGATCATGAAAGAGTGAGACACTTCACGGGCACTTCACAGGGACAATTGTCTACTACAAAGATAACCCCTACTAAGTGATAAATTGGTACCCAAGTGCAGAGAGACTCCATATCCCTCAACTCAGAAAGTTAATAGATTTTGCTTTGTACTCTAGACGAATTATTACTTAGGCGCAATTATTTTTGCAGTTCTGAGACTGTATAAATGTTTAACATTTATTTTTTTTATTTTTTTATTTTTTGGGGGGTCAGTTCCTGCTATAGTCCTTGAACCAGTCACTCCTATGAAAGGGGCTCCAGGGACTGCATTTGGTAATGCCACTTTCTAACCTTCAGCAAGAGCTTTTCCTGCTCATTGTCAAATCCATTCCACTCATTGCCATTCACTTACATTCTTTATCTTTTGAGTTGAACATGCATAAAACAAATTACTTCTTGTTCTTAAGAAATTCATGCCTGAATCTAGTTTGGGATATCTTCCCGCCCTGTAACTTACTTTAAATTTTTTTCATGCCACCTTCTATTTTCAGCTTAATCTGAATTCTCTGTTAAGGCAAATTTCATATATTCATGTGAGCACCTGATCCTGATCTATGCTAACCAAGCTGTGACAGGGAAGTTTCTTAATATATCCTTTGTACATGTATCTTTTTTATCTACCTGTTTTTTTTGTTAACTTTTGAGTAACATGTTTTTAGTAAATTGTCTGACAGATAATGTAGTCAAGGATAGTAAGTTTAAATAGTAAGTCCCATCCTTAGGGTAAATCTGACTACCCCTTACTCTCCACCATAGTTTAGAAATGATTCTTAACCTTTTTAATGCAGTGGGGGGACCCTAGGAGAATATGATAAAGGGGTGCCAGCCTAGCTCAGTCAGTGGAGTGTGTGTCTTGATCTTGGGGTCACAGGTTTGAGCCCCACGTTGAGTGTAGAGATTATTTAAAAAGTAAAATCTTTAAAAAAATGATAAAAAATACCAATCTTGACTCTCTGAATTAATAACTTCATTTTTATGTCAATTTTGCCCCCCAAAGTATCAATAACAGAAGAAGATACAGTAGCACAGTAGGGGCAAATTTTTCACACTAGAAACATAAATTTTATGAAAGTCAAGAAAAATCTGTCAAGCTGTAGAAAACAGAATTTTTTTAAACCTCATAATTTGCAGAACCATAAACTTTATCTTTTTCTACTTCCAAAAACATCCCAATGGACACTTCTTTCACAAACCAAACTTAAAACCACCCCAAGTCCAGATGAACTTGGGACTACACCAGATGAAACCTCAGTCCTTGGTTTCAGGACCCTGAGAGCCTGTTACTGGCTGAAAGTGTAAACCCACATACCCTCTAGTGAGGGAATCATGAAGAGTCCTTCCCCCTTCAGGGTTGGCAAGTAGTACATGTTTGGAAGATACATAATGTTTCCTCTAGCTCAGGGTAATAGGAAACACGTTTTACTTCATCTTCAGGCTAGCTGAACACAGAACCTTTTCCTGCATAAAAAGCCTACAGAAGGAAAATAAGGCAGGGTGTTTTTGCAAATTGAAGATTTTGGGGGGTATTTCAACATTAAGTGTTAGACTCATCATATGAGGTCTTAAAGAAGTGAAGCATCGTTTTGGACCTCAGTAGATCAGGAAAGGAATTAAGTCTTGATGTCACATCAGAATTTGTACAAGTGGACAGGTGAGAATGAACAAAGACAAAAAAATATATATATATATATATATATATATATATATATATATAGCGGGAACTAGAGGGGCAGAGGTTCTTCTTCTTTGAAGAGTCAGTCAAAACCTCTTGTTGGTGATTCCGCATTTGGATAAAACCACAAGAAATTGAAGGAGGGCTTGAATGTTCCATTCAGGAGTCCGATGTTGTTCTCACGAGCATGAGAAAACTTTTCTTTCCACACTGGATGAAGTTTTCCCTGTACCGAGAATGGACGGCTGCTTTACTGGATGCCAAAGACCGAGTGGTGCCCCTGACCTAGTCCTCTTGAATACCTTTCTTTGGACACAAGTCACAAGATCTTTCCAAAGCTGAGTTCTCAGCAAGATCATCATAGCCATTTTTGGTTATTTGTGTGATGGCTGCTTGGATCTGTAGGACCTCTTTATGCAACCATAATTTGATAAACATAGTAGATGTCTTCTTTATTCAGCACCCACTAAAATGCAAGTTAGTCTTTTACATGCTTTTCAAGATGGTTAGGAATGTATTTAGGTAAAAACCTAAAAATGTCCTAGAGTCTACCATGTTAGATGCAAATAATCAAGTACTAACTAGTAGAACGGTTTCCCTCTTGTGGTGCTAAACAGAGACTACAAGTAATGACTATCTTGTGAGATGAAGAAGTCCTGAACTGTAGTTTAGCAAAGTCTGGACAAAACAATTAATTTCCCTTTGTACTAGCTTGCTAAGGCTGCCATAACAACATAGACTGGGTGGCTTAAACAATAGAAATCGATTTCTCACAGCTCTGGAGGCTGGAAATTTAAGATGATGGTATTAGCAGTTTTAATGTCTCCTGAGGCCTTTCTCCTTGGCTTGTAGATGGCCTCATTTTGCTGTGTCCTTACATGGCCTTTCCTCTGTGTGTGAGCATCCCTTGTGTGTCTCTCTAATAAGGTCATCAGTCATGCTGGATTAGGGACCTACTCTTAAAACCCCATCTAATCTTAATTGCTTCTTCAAAGCTCCTATCTCCAAATACAGTCACATTTGGGAGTTAAGGCTTCAACATAGGAATTTGGGGGAGACAGAGTTCACTCCACAGTCCACTTCATCTAGAAATAAAGTAGTAATTCTAGATGAAATGTCACACTGGCAAAATACATTTTGAAGTGAATTTCATAGCTCCTTATACATTTTTTAAAAACCTCTTTTGCTTATTTTATTACTTCAGTTCCTGTTACAGACCTTGAACCTGTTACTCTTAGAACTGAGACATCTGGGACAATATTAGGTAACGATTCTGTGCAATTCCCAAATGCTTTTGCTGCTCATTGTACATTCCATTCAGTCTCCATTTCCTGGCTTTTCCTCCTTCATGAGACAGCCACCATCATCCTCTGTTGCCATTCAGTCACTTCATCTGAAGAATCCTGAAGCCTCTTAAAAACAAGTTTCCTTTTGTTTTTATGAGAGCAGACATTAACTTAACCCAAAACATTGGTGCCATTTGGTACGTTTGTCATTGTCATGTTATCTCGTGCTTCGTTGAATAGTGTTCTGTGTTAAAGTCAAATTTAAAACAAATTGGGATCTGTTTCTTATCTAGGCTGATCAACAGTAATAGCTATTCTTAGCTCCTTTGCCCATCTAGGCTGCTAAGTTTTTAAAAAATTATTTGCATGATATGTTTGTTTCTTTGTTGGTGCTTTAAGTAATGACATGTTTTATTACTAACTTGACAAATAGGAAATTACCTAAATCCAAAATTTTAAATTATAAATCCTCGGTGTGACCCTAACTTCCCCTCCCTTGCACCAGAGTTGAACCCTCCTTCCCATTTTTTCCCCAATGAGGAAATTCTGTGAATGTTTAATTACAAGTGCTAATCTTTATGCCTTGAATGAACAACTGAATGTATATATACATGAGCTTGCCTGCAAAATACCAACAATGATAAGAAGAAGACACATTGGCATAAAAGGATTAAAAATATTAAATTACAGAAAATTTCCTGTAACTTTTGAAAATCTTAACAGCTCTTGGAAAAACCTCTCCTCAGAATCCAGAGCCTTAAGACCTAGAGTAACACAAAGCTTTTCTTTCTTCAGCTACTAAAACATCACAAAGACCCCGTCGTCCACGTCCCAGACCTAAAACCACACCAAGCCTTCAAGTACCTCACACCAAATCCGGTAAATGTGTGATTCCTTGGTTTAAGGGTGAGCCCAAGTAGTCTGTCCCAGTAGGAACCCAAAACAGTGCCAAGCTGTTAGTGACTCTAAGTGTGAGGTCATGAGCCATGATCAGTAATGTCTGCTTTGCCCAGGTGTCAGAGAATGTGGCTGGGAGCAATATATTTGGTACCAGAATATCTTACTCTATGTGAGAGTCTTCTTTGATATTCATTTAGTATATTTCTTGCTATCAACTTCCTTTCAAATTTTAATTATACATCTTCCTTAGCAGAGCCAATGTATTCAGTTCAAGTAAACAAAAAATTATAAGTCCCTTGTATATTTCTGGACAAATATTGACAATTGTGGGTGATATGCCAGCAGTGGGAGACTTTCTAAAACAGTAGAGTTGGGTATATGTTTGCATGATACATTAAATATTGACCTTGCATAGGAAAAGATCAGGTCGACTAGACTTGGACGTTGGGCCTACTACAGGATTTCAGTGAATGGAGGGAAAAGTGAACCAAGGCAGAAGGGCTAGACATGTAAGGTGGTAGAGCGGTAGCCACAATGGCAGTCCAGTGTGCCTAAAACAGACGGTCCTACTTCCAGATGGCCAAAACAAGGTTATTGATGATGCTGCATTTGGAAGAGTCCAGACAACCAACTGAAAGAGAATTTTGAGGACCTAATTCAGGAGCTTAGATTTGATACAGAGACATCAACTGTCTTTGATTTCTGCTTTGTCTGGGCTTCAGCCAGACAGATGCTCTCCTGAGTATTACAGACTGAGTGACCATCTTTATTCTGCTCTCTTATATGCCGTGGTTTGGATGAGTTCTCAGAATGATCAACATAGTCCACTTCAATGATTAACTTTTATATCTGTTTCAAACTTATAAACTGCTTATTGTATCCATGTTTACTTAAACATAGTAAGTGCACATTTTCAGCTTCCATAGAAATACAGATTGATCAGATTTTTTAAAAGACAGTTTCTTTTCTAACTGCATGTTAGGTCAATGAATAAGAATATTTTCTAGTGCAGAGTTTTCTATATCAGAATCCATTAGCTAAAACCTAGCAGAATTTCATGTTGACTTCTTTAAGACAATCAAGATAGTTCAAAGGCTAAGCCTAAGACCATGATTATAGTTTGGCCAAATCTTCAAAGGATAATCACCTACTCTTTCCTTCAGTTAGGAGGTTAATTTTTTTTCTTTGTTTTTGTAGAAGGATTGATACACAAGTAGATTTGCTTAGATGTGAATGTTCTGACTTTTCATGTGTTTTAAAATTTCTTTGATTTATTGTATTTTGGGGGCAGTTCCTGCTACAGTTCTTGAACCTGAGACCCCAGGAACAACATTAGGTAATAATATATTATCTTTTCAACAAGATTTACTCTTCTTTTGTCAAACCTAGAGTTTCATCTTGCTTTATGTGACCAAATGTCATTCTTTTTGGACATTCATTTACATTCTTAAAATTATGAAAACTCTTAAAACTTATCTGCCATTTTTAAGAACCAGTCATACATGAACGTACTTCAGGTCATTTATTTGCCATGTAACCTATTTGAAATTTTTTCACATTATTTTGTGTTTTATTTAAGCAGTCTTGGTGGTAAAAAAAAAAAAAAAAAACACCTAGTCTTCAAACATACTGTGGGTTTCTACCTCTTACCTATAAAGGCAGATAAGCCAAATAATAGCTATCGTGGGGCCAAGAGGATCCATTTATCTCACACTTAGGTTTCTACCTTTTTTTTTTCTATTTGTGTGATACTGTTTTGTTTTATTTTTATTTAGGTAATGATGTGTTCTTGTTTTAGTAGTTACATAGAAAGTGTGGAAAGATGAAAAAATTGAATTATAAATCTCAGATTTAATATGACCATCCTTCATAATACATTAAAATTTAGCAATGGTTCTTAACCTTTATGTTGCCCAATCAACCCACTCTATGACACTTCGATTATAATTATTAATCTTTATTTCTTGAATTAAAGAGGGATTTTTTTCTTCAAAGAATCTTCTATGATAAAAGAAATTATATAAGAAGTATACATGACAAAAATCTCAAACTAGAAAGGCACATGTCTAACAAATTGTAGAAAATCTAGAATCATATTTTCACCTCTCATTGCTTCCAGAACAGAAGTAATGTGGTTGTGTAGTAACCCTACAATTTCTTCCTTCAGCCTCTGAAACATCACAACAGACACATCGTCCACGTCTCAGACCAAAAACCACACCAAGTCTTGAAGCTTCTGAGTCCAAACCAGGTAAACAAGTGTTCCTGGTTTAGAGTTTCAGCAGCCTAACCCAGCAGGGTCTCAAGAGTAATTCCAGTATTTGGAAGTAATGAATAGGCCCCATAAAAGTAAAGATATAACTTGTGTTAAACAACAGTTCCCACTATAGAGATGGCAAGAGGAACACAGTAGGGGGAAATCTGTGGGGCAACTGAATGCCTCATGCTTCTTGAGTGAAATCTTATTCTGTCACTGTACATTTTATTAATTTCCATTTAGTCTTGAAAATAAAACTTCTTTAGAAAAATTAGGCATATTCAGTTCAAATTAACAAATAGTATCTTCAGTATCCCCAGGTCATATTAGCACCTTTGGGGGTATAAATTAGGTGTGGGAGACATGTTTTAGTCCTCAAACCTGCAAGAAAGTTGAGAACAAAAGATAGATAAGATAGATGGCATTAAACAGCATATATGCAAAGACAAGATCAAGATTGATATCTGGGTGCTATCAACAAAATGTGCTAGGTACATAAATATGCAGATCTGGAAAAGATAAAGAAACAGTGGAGCCTTGAAACCACCGTAGTACACAGATAAGTAGAAAGAGAGGTAAGAATAAAATCAGAAAGTGTGGATATAAGTGAGACCAACCAAAGGAGAAAGTCTAACTGTAGTACTAGTATAAAAGATGTCTCACTAGACAGTGATAGTCAAATCTTTCTGAATCTTGATTGGTCCATGGATTCTCATGATGGAGATTCTTAGGCATCTGATGGAGCAGTTGAGATTTGGTCAAGTGGACATTAGTAAGCTCTTTGTTGCACGTGAAGGCATGTTCCTTCTTTGCTTAGAATGAAGGGATAACCTGCTCAATTCATCATGCTGCAGCCTCCCTTTCTTTCCAAAGTTAAGTTGTTAGTAATATCCACACATCCCACTTTGACTCATTAGTTAGAATCAGATCATCAAAGGAGGAATAAGGAAATAGTTACCTCACTTAGGTATGGCCAAATTTTAGGAAATCGGTGGTCTACTTTTTTAGTTGAACAGTTTTTAGAAGTTGCTACATAGTTCTAGAAAGTATATGAGTAAGATTCATTTTGAAGTAAATGTTTTGAGGGTTTTTAAATTTTTAAGCAATCATTTTGTTTATTTTTAATACTTTTGGTCAGTTCCTACTGCAGACCTTGAACCTGTTGTGTTCAGAACTGAGACATGGGTAACAACACAAGGTAATAACACATGCTCCTCAGTAAGTACCTTCCCTTCTGATTGTCAGACTCATTCCATCAACATCATAGCTACAGGTTCTTTTACTTCATAAGGACTACATCATCCTCTGTTGTCACTCCATGAAATTCTTCATCCTAAAAGTTTTGAGGACTCTGACTCTTAAAACAAGTTATCCCTTCTTTTTAAGAGAGTTATGCATAAACCTAACTCAGGTCATCTGTTGTACAAGTAACCACCTGAATTGTTCTGTCATCTCATGTGCTTTTTAACCACGTTTTGTTAAAGCTGGGTTTAAAAAACAGTTCCTTTGACGCTACTGACTGTTATGGTATCAGGAAGTTTCTTTGTGCATCTAAAGTTCTACTTTTTTTTTTTTTTTAACTCTCTAATATCTGTCCTTTGATAAATATTTTAATTAATTATATGGCCTTATCTTAGTAAGCTGTCAGAGTTTGTATCTGACTATGGCTGCCCCATAATATTTCCATGGTGGGACTTACCCCTTTTGTTCAATAGAAGAGAACTATGAACACTATTTCACTTCTTGAATTAACAACTTAATGCTGTATGACTCATTCTCAATGAACTTGCATTTATAAAAGAATATATATTATTATATTAAGGGTGAAAGTTTCAAATTAAAAGGTTGATAAGACAAATTTACTAATGTAGTAACTTTAGAAAATCTGGAGTCATGTGTCATGCTACCCTTAGCTTCTAAACTATGGACTCTGTAGTAACCAAAGGTTTTCTTTCTTCAGCTCCTAAAACATCAAAACGGACCCGTCGTCCACATCCCAAACATAAAACAACACCAACTTCTGAAGCACCTCAAACAAAACTGGGTAATTGTGGGTTTCTGGTTAAAGGAGTGAATCTTATCAGCTCTTGGGATTCTGGGATTGATGCCGGTGGGAGGAGTGATAGCCCATGTGAGCCCAGTATTGGTGAAGGCACAAGATGATCTACACTGATCCCACCATTGACTTAGCAAAGGAAAACATTGTTTGGGGACACATCTATGGCAAATGGATTCCTCATGCTTTGTGCATAAAGATCGTTTATTTTAATATGTATTTTATTACTCTTGCTTATTTCATTCCATACTTCTCTAGAAGACAAAATGTCTTAAATAGAACCAATTATCTTTATTTTAAGAAACATTAAGTGCCTTTCATTTCCCCCCAGAGCTACATCAACAGCTGTGAGGTTATCACAGATGTAGGTAGCTTGTTTTTACTTCTCAGTCTGTACTATAGTCAAAGTCAAAACCTGCCCCAGTAGGAAACATTCAAAGATTGAACCAAGGCAATGTGTCATGCCAATCAAGATTATTCTTTGCAGGTGTTATAAACATCTATGCTCTTAGAAGTTTGTGAAGGCCAGGAATAAGGAGTTAGGAAGAAAGCGGGAAATCTTAGAATTGAAGAGAGGCAAAAAGAAAGCAGGTATTGAGGCCAGCCTGAGGGCACAGGCCTCCTGGAACAAGGGAAGTACTGCTTTTAAGTGGTAATGATAGTAGTGAGTTTGGAAGGGTCCATAAGAGCAGTTGAAGAAAGTTCTTGAAGGTATGACTCAGAAGTTTGGATCTGAACCTAGAAGCATTAGTGGTCTTTCCTGCAACCTCTTCCACATGTATAGGGTACCACATTTTTGTGTTTAGAGTAGAGAGCTGCTCTACTGGGCACCACACACTGAGTGGTTGTTGCTTATCCTAATTAGTTGAATGCCTTTGCATCATATGAGTTCTCAGCCTATTTCTACTTATGAGTTCTCAACAAGATGAACGTGGTTAGTTTTGCTTTGTTCTTTTCTATGCCTCCTTTCAAACATAAAAGCCATTTACTGTATCCATCTTATTTAGATATCTTATCTTCTTAAAGCTTCCACAGAAAAAGCAACAATTGCCAGAACACTTTTATTAGTATATATCTAGTAAAATGTTTAAACAAGTTTCCTAGGGCAATAGTTGGAATTGGGTACTTAAACGCCTAAGAGAATATTGTGTTGACTTTGAGATGCTTAGCAGACTACGTAGGCTATCACTGACTATTTCCTAAAAGAATGTTTACCTGGTTATAGGGTGGCCAAATCTTTAAGTATTTAATTTCAGAAAAAAATTTAGTTGCTATACATTTATTGAAGCAATGTTATACTGGTTAGATTTAATTTGCTGACTTTTCACAAGTGTTTATTTCATTGCTTTTCATTAGTTCCTACTACAGATCTTGAACCTGGCCCTCTTAGAACTAAAGCTCCAGAAATCGTGGGTAATGAGAATGTGTGTCCTTCAAATAGTGCTTTTTCTGCTCATTGTCATACCATTGTGGCCACAGGTCCTGCTGCATCTTAAAACCATTTTAACACCCTCTGTTGTCTTCCATTGCAGTCTTCATCTTGAAATTACGCTAAGCTCTATATCATCTGTTAAACTTAAGAAAGCTGTGAATATGCTAATTTCAAGGCATCAAACTGCCATGTAACTTGTTCATTGTTGTTTCATGTGATCATGTGTATGTGCCAAAACAGCACTGACTACTTTAAGCTTTGTTTCAAACATGAATTTCCATCCCTTATTTGCACTGCTTACCCTTCATTGATTGCAGAAATACCATGTTCTTGAATCATTTTTTTATTGCATTAGGATCTGTGTGATTATACTGATGGATCTATTGTTTCAAAAAATGATGTTTTTAGTTAAGTGTCAAAATTTTAAATGTGCCTAAGTCTTGAAAGTTTAAATGATAGGCTTTCATGATAGAGTAGGATGATTCTTTCTTCTTTGCTAAGAGAATTTAACAGTGTTTCTTAACTTTTCTTGAGTCAAAGACTACTCTGAAACATTGATGAGCACACTGCTTTATGTATTGATCCTCATGCTTTCAAATAAATAAGCTCATTATTATACTTATGATTATTTAATAAGCATTTGTCTCAACTTGTACAGAAGTAGAATGACAAATGCTTTTTTCAGTAGAGTTAGAAGAGTATAAATATATAAAAATGTGTAAAAAAGTTAGTCTAGCAAAGTTTTGCATATTAGCAATTATCAGATATTCAAACATCTAGGAGAACTTCTTATGGATCACAGTGATGTTTCACAGAGTACAATGCTGTAACTCTTTTATGAGATTAATGGGTACTTTGCCAGAGTATGGTCAAATCTTCAGAGTTAAGTGTTTCTTTTCTGTCAGTCCTGAAGCTTAAAAATTGACTTCTGCGGTTAGTCTTCAAGTGAATTTTTAAAATCTCTTTGGTTTATTTTATTATTTTTTACCAGTTCTTCCTACAGCCCTTGAACCCATCACTCTTAGAACCAAGGCTCCAGAAACAGCATTAGGTAATGATATTCTGCATTCCTCAACAGTTTTTTCCTGCTCATCATCAACCCATTCTATCATAATCATAATCACTTCATCACCAGCTTTATAAAACTGTTTTGTAATCTGCTGTCCTCCAACTTCATTTTTTTTTCTTCTTAAGGGCATTGAAAATTCTTTTTTTTTTAAGATTTATTTATTTGACAGAGAGAGACACAGCGAGAGAGGGAACACAAGCAGGGAGAGTGGGGGAGGGAGAAGCAGGCTTCCCTCCAAGGAGGGAGCCCGATTCGGGGCTGGATCCCAGGACCCTGGGATCATGACCTGAGCCAAAGGCAGATGCTTAATGACTGAGCCACCCAGGCGCCCCAAGGGCACTGAAAACTCTTAAAAGAAGTTATCTATTGTTTTTAAAAGTTATGCATGGACCTAGGAATATCTGTCAACCATGTAATCTTGAAACTGTTTCATGTATTTTTGTCTAAACAGAGCTCAAATTTAAAGCTGAGTTTTAAAGTCGGTAATGTCTGTATCTTCTCTTGACCAAACAAATGGTAACAATTCGCATGGTATCATAGATTCTTTGGAAAAGTTCTATTTCTTGGTGTGAACCTAACCCTGCTACCTACAGCGTGGCTAGAGTCCGTAATTACCTTCTTTTAAAGCTAGAGATTTATGAGTTTGCTCACTCCTTGACTTAACTTTATGTGTGAGTTTTATCTCTCAAGAATCTTGGGTGCTTAAAAAAAATAGTTAACAAAATAGAAGAAAATATTTCAATCTTGAGATACATATGCCTTAAACTTCAAGGCAACATGATGCATTTTAGAAAATCTAGAGCCTTATTTCCAAAACCACCTTCACTGGAGTAATCTGAAGTTTCATCCTTCAGCTCCTAAAACAGTACAACGAACCCGTCGTCCACGTCCCAGACCTAAAACCACATCAAGCCCTGAGGCACCTCAGACCAAACAGGGTAAATATGTTATTCCATGGTTTGAGGGATGAACCCTAGCAGTCCATCCCAGTGGGGTCTCAGGGAAATGCTTCTGATGGGAAGCAACAGTCTTCATGTTCTCTAAAAGTCAAAGCATGAGGTATGGTTAGCAAGTAATTTTTGAGTGAAATTTTTGGTCTCTTTAAAGATGTGTTTAAAGCAAGATTGGCACAGTTACTCATAGCTATTTATTGCTATATCTGCATTTAAACACACGGTCTATTTATTGTGGTCATGGTTACATAAGCATAAGTATTTTTTTCAGCTTTCAAAAACTGCAACAAGTTACTTTCATACATATTTTCATATATCTATTGCCTAAACAGAATTTCCAAAGCAAGCTTTCATATTGGTTAGAATCAGAAAATCAAACACCTAGAAAAACCTCATGCAGAATTTAAAGGTTGTGAATGCCTTCTACAATGAATAGTTCCTAACTAGTGTGACCAGTTCCTCAAAAAGAAACTGCTTCCTGTCAATTCAAAAGTTTAAAAAAATTGTCATTTGAAACTAAAGTTTTGAAAGAAAAATTAAGATTTTCTACATGTGTTTAAACTTTCTCATGTTCATGTTGTTGCTTTTGGTTAGTTCCTGCTACAAGCTTTGAACCTGTTATTCATAGTTCTGAGGCTCCAGAAACAACATTAGGTAATGATTTTTGTGACCTCATCATATGCTTTTTTATTCATATGATAGTCGATCGCTGTCATGGCCAGAGTTGCCCCTGCTTTCTTAGACTGCTGTTGTTTTGTTTTGTACTTCATCTTAATCTTCATCTTAAGATTAAGAATCTTAGTCAAGATTCTTAATTGAAGTGCTACCTCTTGTTTTTAACAGATGTCCCTGGACCCAGGTGAGGAAATCTATCTGCCATGAAACCCCATTTAAAATTTCATCATCTGATGCAGGGAAGTGTCTGAAGTCCAAATTACAACCCATCTATTTGGTATTTAGAGCTATAAAATGATGATAATTAAATACCATGAAATTTTTCTGAGCAACTTACTTTCTATAAGATTTTTGAGACATTCTCATTATTCTCTTCCTAATTTAAAAGATGATTTCCCCCCTTTAAATTATCCAAAAAAAATTGCTTCCTGGATGTGCCAATCCTAGTAAATCTAAGTTAACAGGATTTCCTCACCATGGATGAATTTGGTTATTCTTTATCTTCTACCACAGTTTAGTATTGGTTCTTAATCTTTACCAAGTAGGAATTTCTGAGCATCTAATTGTATTGATATCTATTCCTATTCCTTTAATTAATAAATTTTGTTATTTTCATTTTCAAAACACCCTTAGTGGTGATAAGAAGCAAATTAGATTCATAAAGTAAAAATTTTCAAACTTAGGTAAGAAACTCAAGAAAATCTAATACGTCTTAGGAAACATAGGTCTATGTACAATGCTTTTGAGGTTTCTAGACCTATAAACACAATAGCAACCCAAGATTTTCTTCCTTTAGTTTCAAAAACATGGGGGAAAAAATCCATTCTCCTCCCAAACTTTCAACTTCCCAAAGTTTCACAGTTGAAACCAAGAAACTCAATGATTTCCTAGTTTGAGTCCTTCTAGCTTATTGCAGTTGGATCCCAGGAGTGACAATGATGTAGCTTGTTAACTTTCACTTCCCATCTCTATGCCCTCTAAGAGAGAGGAGGCACAAATTGTGGTTAGCATCTTTACAATTGCATATTGACCAGAAGGTTCATGGTTGGGGGAGATCTAGGGTAGCCAAAATCATCATGTGTCCTGCATAAGGATTGTCTCCAACAAAAGTTGCATCTTATTCATTTCTCTTACCATTCCATTTATCTTTTTAAAAATTAGCAGTACTTCTTTGGCTTAGTAAACAAAAATTTCCTTGCCTTCTGTGTTCCCAGCACCATATTAACAGTTGAGTGGAGTGGGGTGAGGTGAGGAACAGAGGTAGAGATCAAAAGTAAGAACAGGTTTTACTTCTTGAAAAAAGTACAATAGAATTGTGAGGAAACCCTGTTTTCAAGGGGGTTTTGTTTTTGTTTTAGATATAAGGCAATTTGCTCATATAGAAGCAGCTTATTGAGTGGTTAAAAATATACGGAGAAAACATTTAAACAAGTCAAAGATCTATGTGGACTGATAGATAACAGTTGGACTTTGAAATAACTTCAGTTTTTTGCATTAGTAGATGGAAGGGTAGGAATAGCGAAAATAAAATGAAAACTCAAACTAGAACACAGAACAAAGCACTCCTAGATGGTACTAAACATTTTGGTAATGATAAGCTCATAAAATCAGCGGTAGGAAGCTCTTAGAAAGCCCCTGTGGGAATTCAGATTCAGATATAAAAGTCCGTGAGAACCTATTTTTTTTTTCAGATTTTTTATGTAAGGATGTCAGATGGTAAATATTTTATACTTTGTAGGCCATTCAGTCTCTGTCACAAATACTTGATTCTAATGTAGTATCTCAATTGAAGGCAACCAAAACCAATATGTAAATGATATGTAAATATGCCTTGAATCATCTTAGTTTGTAGGTGTGGTTGTGTTCCAATAAAGCATTACTTGGATTTTATACCATTTTCACATGTCATAAAATGTTACTCTTAATTTTTTTCCACCATAGAAAAATACAAAAGCCATTCTTAGCTCACAGATCAGGCAAAGGGCTGGATTGGGAGGGCCATCGTTTGCCAATCGCTGCTTTAAATAATGTATACTCTGCATGGCTCTCCATAACCCTGTGATTTTGAAGATCTATGCATTTCAGTTCATTGCTACCTTTATCTAAAATCTGTGAAATATCCGTAATTACTTTGACAACTTAGATGCTCTTCTTTCAGCTCCCACTGAACTGCAAACTCTTATTTTGAAACCAGTGACATCACCAATCCTAGAAATGACACAGAGTCAACCTGGTAATTAGACTGTTTTATCTGTCTGGGTACAATGTGAGCTTCAAGGGACATATTCCAAGTTATTCCAAGTGTTGATTTCCAAATATAAAAAAAGCAAATAATAATACACATTTAATAACTCTATATACCATACATGCTCTTTCCATGATTGCATACTGGTATTAACTTGGTAATTTATTCATAGTAATTGCTATTCAACTGATAAACATGCTTCATTTCATTGTGTTTACTCTGTATCACATAGAGAATAATCAAGTATGTGATTAAGTAGTCAATAAAACCACTTAGAAGAACTGATTCTATTCTTTATTCTTATTTTTCACTACAAACTTGTAGTTCTCTTTAGTAATAAGTTAAATTTGTGCTCTGCTATGTGAAAAGAATGTTAGTTCAGTTGTGACCATCAGGGAAGGAGAAAGTGCTCACTTTGGTAAAGATAACAAAACTACCCTATACAATATTGCCCTTCAAAATTGAAAACAAATATTTTAAGTTAGCATTGTGGTTGCTAACCCTGACATATATTTCGAAACACAAGATCTTACTTTTTTTCTAGCATAGGATTATAATTTCTTTTCATCTCCTTTGTGCATCTTGTAATTAGCTAAATGACATTTTGGTGCTCATGACGGTAAACGTCTGATTGTTAATAGTTACCTACAACAGTTAGAAAATTGTGACTTCAGTTCAGTTATTGGAGCTTCCCTAGTGTCATTAATAATATTGTTGTTATCCTAACAGCTAACATTGAGCATCTATAGGTGCAAGACAATTTTTTTTAATTTTATTTATTTATTTGAGAGAGAGAATGAGATAGAGCATGAGAGGGTCAGAGGGAGAAGCAGACTCCCTGCCGAGCAGGGAGCCCAATGCGGGACTTGATCCCGGGACTCCAGGATCATGACCAGAGCTGAAGGCAGTTGCTTAACCACCTGAGCCACCCAGGCACCCCATAAGACACTTTTCTAAATACTTAATTTGTATGAATTCATTTGATGCTGCCGACAACCTATCCTTGATCAATTGTATCATTTTGTGTTCTTTGCTAGTTTCTGAAGTCCTGGAATCGGTTACATTAAGCACTGAGTCATCAAAGGAAGCTCTAGGTAAAACTGTTTCCCAATGAGCAGTCAGATATATGTGCATTTCCATCTCATTGCCGAAGTCATCTTTGGATGTCCTCACGCTTTGTGACATTTCGTAGCTCCTCACATCTTGTCTGTGCTCATCCAGTGAATTTTAAAAGTCACATGTTACATACAGCACGTTGTGCTGGTGCCTGTTTATTGCTATGCAAGTTTCACAATTGCCTTAGCTCCTTTTCACTCTGAATGTGAGATTTAATTTTTTAATATTCTGACCATTCTTTAAATATGAATATGCACATCCTAGTTTTCATGTTTCTGTTGTTTTTAGGATTCCTTATGCTTTTCAAGGACTCACTCTTTGTCTTTTTCTTACTAGAATCCTTAAAATATGTAAGGAAGTGACATTACCTGCTTTGCTCCAGGTAGAAGTTGCTGAAGACACTGCTGGTTGTGGTGTGTGTGCACGTGCCCACGCTGAACACTGCCTTGATTTTCCACCTTCATCTCTGCCCTCTAAAATTGCAGTCATCTTCCTAATCTACCTAAATGTTATGTATTCTCATGAATGTACCAACTTAAGATAACAAACCTCTGTTTTCAAATTAAATACAGCATCCTATGACAGTGTGTGATGCCCTGCCCACCACTAACCAGCCATTCCCTGTTTATTCCATAGCACCAACTGTAACAGATTATCTGTACCCCTCTGCCAAAACACCACTCAGTCCAGAGGAACCAAAGACTGGAGGTGATAAAAGTTTTCATGCTTTGATTCATTCATTCAACAAGTTTTTAATTAACATCTGTTATGTCCATGGAATGTGAAAGTTCAAGCTGTAGTACTTGTTCTACAATGGAATTCATTTGAAGAGCAGTAGCTTCCCAAATCCTTGGGGTCTTCAAACTACAATGATAATTGATCTCTGAATACAGAAATTTTGGTTTCTCTATGGTATCAAAATATTGAGGCATAATAGCATTTGACAGCCAGTTAATGACAGTTAAAACATTAAAATTAGTTGGAGAATTAGTATGACAGAAGAGGATTTCCCCCTTCATTCTCTCTCTCTTCTTCTCTAAATCCATTGTCCTATCTGTAAAAATATGATGCAAATTTCTAAGAGAATGAGGTGTGTTGATATTCAAGAAGGAAAGGGTTCACTATAGCTTAGCATCTTAAAGTTTTCTGAAATTGTTCTCCTTTGTTTTGATACAGTTGTGGAATCTATTACAAATGTGTCTGAACTACCCGAGACCACGCTAGGTAATGACACACCTCAGCAGCTTTTGTCCCCATCGCCACCGTCACCTGAGAACCTCAGGTTTTCTTTCATTGTGAATTCATGTTGCAACATCATTCTTCGTCATGGCAGTTAATTTTCTTTCTAGGTGCTTCTATTCATAACCATTGTCCAAAAAGTCTCTTCTGTTTTGTATCTAGATGTTGGTCTCTTTCTCTACTTAAGTCAATGAAACTGTCAAACCTAAAACATCTTTTTCCTAACATTGAACATTCTGCCAGCTTGTATTGTGTTGAATATTTCCATTTTCTTTTTGTATGGTGATCCATTTTTACTTTCTGCTCTAGCAACATATTTTCCATTAACACTCATTCCATCACATTCATTTACATGTTTGATTTTTTTTTTTTTGCTCTAATTTTAAATGCAAAGTATTTTGGAATCTGCCATCTAAGCATTTTTTAAACTAAATGCATTATGAAGAAGTAGGAATGCTATTTTGCTGCAGAGCTGTAATTTTCTTTCCTTTTTTTTTTTTAATTGCAACCATCCTTTCTGTTATCTATCTGTACTCAAAATTTGTGAAGCACTATCGTAACCCCAGGTACTTTCCTTCAATTACCATAGAGACATCTCCTCTGCTTTCCCAAACTATAATCCCACCCAGCCCAGATGAGCCTTCGACCGAGCCGGGTAAATATTATTTTGTATTTCATGTAGAAGGTGAGTGTTTGCAGACTTCATAAGAATGGAAAGACAGTATGGGCACTATAGACATCAGAAAGCCTAAGTTAATCACTCTGTTCACATTCTTTGCTGGGCGATCCTACTTTTCTGATGCCCCACTTCTATCCATAAGCTATAGCCATTCACATGACAGCGTTGTGAATATTCTGGCTGAAAAACCATTCTCAGCTACTCTGCAAGTGTTAACAGGACATAGTAATGTTTCTGGGAAGAACATTTATATTTCATTTTAAAATATAAATATCCTAATTTTAAATATTTTATCATCTTGACTAGAACTTTTACAAGTTCTGTGGTCATGTACAAAATATCTTAAGGTATCTAAGTTGTGTTTAAGATTAACAGAAACCTCCAGAAACAGATTTCACTGTGCAAAACACATAAAAGGGTACAACTGGCCAATCACGTTATCATTACTCAGGTCCTTTACTACTTTCTACTCCTCTTCCTGCAGCAGTTTGGCCTTTCTGCATGTAAATAAGAGAAATTGAGTCAAACCAGCTAGTTGGCTTACTTAATGGTGGAATTTGAAATACAGGAAAATAAATCACCAACATGAATAAATGTGCTGCTTCTTACAAGGAAAAATCCTCTCAATATCTATAGGCTTTCTTGGACTGATAGTTTATCAAAAATAAACCCAAACTTGTGTTTTGATTATCATTAAACTGATTTCACATGGGTCTATTTCCAAAGGAGATATGAATATTAACTTTATACATTATCCTCTAAAATATCTTATTAAATTTTGCCTATTAAACTCTACAGTTTATTTTTACTGAAATTTCACACTAACTGCATTAACTGAATCTGCCAGTTATCTCTAACTTTTCCAAGTTTCTTAAATAGCAGTATTAATGGATATGATGGAACTGTTTAATTGAAAGTACTCTTAGTGATACCTACCTCATACCCTGGGAGAAGAAAATAGCCTATCAGGAACTTCAGCAAGCAAGGAAGTTGAGAGTGAAAAAAATTACAAGATTGAAAGAAACTCTGGAATCAGAATTTCAGGATTGGAAGGGCCCTTAAGAGTCCTGTTACTTTTGATGGAGAACATGAGGCTATAGACTGAGTGATTAGCAAAGGGAGTTCTAAATCTTCAGGCTCCTAGACCAGTACAATCTCCTGCATATCTTGGTGTTCATTTCTCTACAGGCAATTCCACTGAAGAGTCCACTGAAACCACTGCATGCAGACTCTTTAGAAATTTCTAGTATCTAAAAACTCTTATTTTCAGCAAGCTTTCCTTACCGTGCCTGAAACTTGGTGACCTTGAAAACCATTTTGTTTCTCCTAAGCTGTTTATACCAAACACACTTGAGACAGTCCAAATGAGGTGTTTCTACAAGCTGCAACATCACGTTTGATTATTCCTTTCCTCCAGCAGGATATACTTCAAATTTTCTTGGTAAACATATAATTGGGTTTTTACAGTGACTGTCCTAGAACTACTTTAGGAATTGCCCAAGAAAGGAATAACTTTCTCAGGAATATATCCTTTCAATTTCTGTTCAGTTTTTCTTCCCCAGTATGACCAATGAAAACTGTGTTTTGTTTAAAAAGATTTTTCCATTAGCACTGCTATTAAAATGCATTTATTTTCTAGGTATATTTGGAATGTAACATGCTAACTTTGTTTTTAGAAGAAATTGTATTCCTCTGCACTTAAAATATTATACTGGGGTATTCTGGTAAAATAGTGTAAACTTGTAATAAGGATGAATTCTTGTTATTATGAAATTTATTTTTAACCTATTTAAAAGGTATTTGAAGTAGATATTTCTGAAATTCCAACAGTTTCATTTGCCAGCTGAATATCTTAGACATCATTTAATGTACTTTCTTGTTTTGTTTTCCATTATAATAAGAAATTTATCTTCCTATATTTTGTGGTTCTTTAGGAGCTTTAATTGCATTAATTGCTGTGTATTTAGGTCTTCATCTTTGAGACCCTAGAAGCTTAGATACTGTGATTCTTGAAGCGCTCAAGAGCTCCAAACCCTCCAAACCTATATTCTTTCTTTTAGCTCCCAAGCAGACACCGCGTGCTCCTCCCAAACCAAAAACATCTCCACATCCGAGAATCCCACAAACACAGCCAGGTAAATACATATTTTATATTCTGAAGAGTTTGATATTAGTGGAATTATTCTACTGAATTGTAGCAAGTTGGGTTTTTAACTCTTGTAAAACGAGTCTTCCTTTGAAACCTTAAAAATATTTATGTTTATTTTTGAACTTTATTAAGAAGTATGTTATTGGAATAGCTTATTCCAGAAAGCTTCCCTATGGTTACATTACTTGAAGAGGGAGCTGGAGAAGAATGGAATTTCTTAAAAGAGTAGACTGCCTACCCCCATTGCCTCTCTGAGCTTGAGAATACCTGTCCCTTCCATGGTCCTTGAATGTGCCTCCTCCTGCCAATCACTTTTTTTTTTTTTAACTTTCAGTAGATTGTATTTAACAGTATGTCATGGAGACCTGTTTTATATGTATATCTATTCTCTCCTATAACAATGATTATATAATATGGCTTTGGTGGTTTTGCTGTAAAATTTTGGTAAGGACCAAACAAGAGTCATTATAAACTATTTTGTATTCTTTTCAAGAGGCTTTTATTTGAATGATTAAATTGAACCCTAACTTCTCAACCAAGATCTTGTCCAATTTCTCCAACTGCCTTGGAGGATCTCTGTTGGGGATATCATAAATTTGACATGTCTCAAAAAAGTTCATCATCTTTTCCTCCTTTCAATTTCTCATTTACATCTCTGGCAGGTTCTCAGTATTTTACATCTAACTTTTACTCCTCTCCCTCATGCAGTCTCTGCAGTCCATTTGCTAATAAGTATGATGCATTCAGTTCTTCCAAACATTTCTAGCATTGGTGCCTACGCCAAGCATGTACTTGGTCATGCCTTGTCTGTTGTCATTGATCTCCTATCTCTTTTCTCTAATTTCAAATTATATCACCCTCAATGTTTAAGCAATTAATTCATTTCATCAGGTAGTCACTCAACAAATATTTATTGCATGCTGACTATGTGCCAGACACTGGGGATGTGAGACAAAATTGTGTCTTTCCATGGTCAAGGAATTTACAGGCTAGCCCTACTACATAAATTAAAAAATACCATTTATACATGGTCTGCTTCCAAAAAGTATAAGGGTACACCTCCCCAGTTTGGTAGAAAAGGAACCTTTACTACCGCTTACAGTCTGGAGAAAGAAAAATATTAGGAGCATCAAAATTATGCTCAATCAAGGTAGTAGTTCTGAATTCCTACTACTAATTCTTTAATCATATCTCAGTATTCCTACTGAAAGAAAAAACTGTAGATTTGGGCATAGTCTGTAATATCTGATTCTGAGAGAAATTTTGCCTGTCATTTTTTTCTTTAAAGGAAAATTCCTTAAAAGACAATTCTATGTTCCACATCTAGCTAATGATTTTAAATCTGCTTTAATGTATTTTTAAATGTGTTTTATTTAATTACTAAGGCTTTGCTATGAAAATAATATGGGTGTGATACCTAGTGTATAAAGGTACCAAGGCAAAAATCCCCTGAAAGAATAAGAAAGTTAAAATAACAATAAATACACTTGAAACATTCATCCTTAAGAAATAGTTTGAAAAACAATTATTAGAGAATAAGTAACGATTAATGAATAGAATAGGAATGAAAAAAGCAAAGCAAGTATATTAAGTTGATAGAAAATTAAAATCTGATTTTAGAAACTCAACAGATAAAATCTCTCAGCTTTTTACTTAAATATAAGGCATAAAACAAAAGTAGCAGAGAAAGGAGAAATCGAGAGAAGTAAGAAAGCATGAAAATTTGTTGAATGTTAGAAAATAAGAAATGAAAAGTAAGAAGTGGTGAGAATTAAGACATTGGGAATATAAATTTTTGGCTGTGAATTGTGTAAGACTGTTGAATCACAGACCTGTACCTCTGAAACAAATAATACATTATATGTTAAAAAAAAAAAAAAAAGATAGGAAGGGAAAAACGAAGGGGGGGGAGTTGAAGGGGGGGACAAACCATGAGAGACTATGGACTCAGAAACAAACTGAGGGTTCTAGAGGGGAGGGGGGTGAGGGGATGGGTTAGCCTGGTGATGGGTATTAAAGAGGGCACATACTGAATGGAGCACGGGGTGTTATACGCAAACAATGAATCATGGAACACTACATCAAAAATGTAGTGTTGTAATGTGATTAATATAATAAAAATGTGATGTAATGTGATTAATATAAAAAATAAAAATAAATAAATAAATGCCTGGTTAGTAAAATTTTTAAGTAAAGGAGATATGAAGTTACAAAAAAGACATTCATCATTTTCTTTTTCAGCTATATATTCTGTACTTATAAAAATATTTATCATCCATCAGGATCTTACTCTAATTACTCTAATTTCCCATTATTAGTATATTCTACATTTCAAATTTGTTTGGCTAGCTCTTGTAATTTCAAAAGGCCATCTGGGTGAGAGAATGTCCTATGCATACATACAATACCAAATGCAAATTATTATTGTTAGACTTTAGGGGGATCCCTAACAGTAGTGTGTACAATTTCAAGGGCAACACAGTGTGCCCATCCACTACTTTTCTCAGAATGAAATTCCGTAATCGGGCATACCAACTTTCTTCCTATTTAAGCTTAGATAGCAAGATTTAAATCTGTATTCGGCATTTAAGGGCAAAGTGGAATAAAAAGTTTAGAACAAATCATCAAAAATATTTTGTCATTGCATAAAGGCTTGATTTTTAGATTCCTGTGCTCATAGGTAATAGTCAACAGCCCAATTAATTTCATATCTAGAAATCTTATAACTAGCAAAACTGTGGGTGCCTCTGGCTCATGTGGGGGCAAACAACATGAGAATCAGAATATAGTCAGGTGTTAAATTTCTAAAATTTGTAAAAATCAATGTCAAATTTGTAAAAATCTTCTAGAAGTGGTAAAGATTTTTATTACAGTTATATAGTTTTCACATCATTTTGACATTGCACATTTAATTCGCAGAACCACCCTTTGGGTTACGACAGGTTTATTATTTCCACCTAAAAATATAAGAAACAAGTTAAAATGTGACCTCAGTGCTGGGATCTAGAAAGCCCAAGTTTTAGGACCTAGTGCCCATGTCTAGACCTCAGCATTCAGTTCAAGTCTAATCTCCAGTACTTAATTTCTATGTAACCTCAGGCAGACAGTCACTGACCCAGGCCGTTAAAGTGAAGCTCATAATTCCTTCCTTCCACAATTATGGTGAGAATCAAAGAGCACACTCCTTACAAAACCACTTTTGAAATTGTAAAATGAGCTATAAATAAATTAGACCTTTTTTTCTGGTATCTGTTACATTAACAACTCATTACTCCAAAGGAACAGTTGTGGGAAGACCATTTTAGTTTATGAACATGCTCATTTAAAGATTTAGGTGGGGCCTAAGAATTTCAGGGGGTGTAGAATGTGAGCCTACATGCTCCGGTCCCTCCTGCTTCCCCTTCTGCTGTTGCCTGAGCTGACTTTAAGCTTGTCTTATTCATGCTTCATTGCCTTCTACTCTGACTTTGCTAAATTCATCTTCACAGAAAGACATGAGGCTGGGTTTGAGGAGTCAAGCAAACATCCAGAAAGGACGAACGCTTCTGCATTAATTTGTTATCTCTTCAAAAAAAGAAAATAAAATAGTTATCTCTTCTGAAAAGAAGATTTCAAAAAAAAATTCTCCATCCTATACTTATGCTTAGTCATATTTTGTGGTTTCTCAGACATCATTTTTCTAAAAGCATCTGGAATTCTGATAAATGTTCAGAGCTTAAAGTTTATTTTTCTATCTAATTCCCATTTCAGTGCTTTTCTTTTTAAATCAGTGGTCAGGCTTACACTTTGTCATATCATCTGTGTTTAGCAGGACTGGGAGATGCTGAAACAAAATGACTCACAATCTGAGTTCTCTCTTTCAGCCCGCAAGGTGTCCCAGCGTGTTACTTCAAAGCCAAAAACATCACCAAGTCCAGAAGTATCATATACTCCACCTGGTAAATGATTTATTTCATGTTTAAGCCAAATGCATTCTCCTGTCACATTCTGCTGCAATGACACCTGAGAACTGATAGATATGAGGGCAGTATTTCACTCATGTTCCGACACCATGTTGAATCATCCATGGTATAATCATCTCTGAGGTTCCATAGGTTATCTAGTTGCTCACATAGTAAGCTATTGATTCAATCAAAAGGTAGAGAATTATGCCAAGGGTAGACCTTTCCTTTAGAACTAAAGTTCTCATATATTCTGACTTATAAAAAAAAAAAAAAAAAAAAACCTGTTAATGCTAACTAGATTATGTTCAAATGGTTCACCAAAATAAGATAAAATAAAGAATTTCATGGGGTTTTTTCTCTGCAAAAGTGATAAAATGTTTTGCAAACAGAGGAAATGATCTTTACCCATTATCTTTGGTTCCGTAATTTTACACTACCTAGCACTGAGGGTTTTTCTCAATTTCTACTTTAACAGTTCATGGAGCAACAGCTTAGGTAGAGAAATAAGAAATTTCCCATACACAAAGGATTTCTTTAGCTACAAATCTATCTCTTGCCTATCATCTGAGAAGGCCTTTCGTCCACTTATGGGATGAATAATTTTATATCTGTGGGAGTGATTGGTATGGGAACCGCAAGGACCCAGACATTTCCTGAATCTTGCCACCAATGCTCTAGATGCTCAAGTGACCTTAAGAATCCACTGTAAGAGGAACAGTTCTCTAATAAACCAAACAAAGCTAATTTTTAACTAGAGTATCTGAAAATGCTATAATTTTTTATTTCTTTTTAATGGTCCAATTATTATAAGTTTCTAGATGCTCCTAGAAGCCTATGGAACATTCCCAGAACCAAAGGATTTCTAAGTTGTAGCATGAAATGATGGCATTTTGGAAGCAAGCCCGAATTCACTTGCTCTAAATGTTTTCCAGATTTGTAAGTGGGGGGGTGGGTGGGGGGGGTGTATTACTGCTGCTGTGGGATAGTCTGGTTGCTGCAGGTAGCAGTAGGCCAGAGAGAAGCTCCTTAGCTCTGAAATGTAGAATGTCAGTTTGTACCACTAAACACAACAGCCAGTATTGTAGCCACCAACAAGAAAAAAAAGTTGATCTTCTCACTTGCAGAAGGTCACTTTCTCGTTTTTCAGTTGCAGGAAAAAAATGTCACAGAAATTGAGTCATTAATGATAACAACGGTAGGTTTGAGTGATTTTGTGTGCATTTCCTTTTTGTTAGAGAAAGTAATACTGGTGGTCCTAAGGTGACTTAATCTCCTTAAACCATATCTAATACTAAACTATATCTAATAGTTAAGTATTTTTTTCTTTTTAAATATCTAATATCCGCCTTAATTCCACCTTATTTTTTCACAGAAACTCAAACCTTAAGTTTGAGCACGGGAACAACAGCCCAAACTGCCCCCTGACACCTCCACTGGGCTTATTCTATTGACTCTCCAGTTCCACATGTTCAATTAGAGTTCAATCTCTAAACCTGGTGCTGGTCCCACCATTTATTCATCAGGGGCTCCCCTGTTGCTCCAGGGGTGTGGTGCCTGTGGGAATAATCTTCAATTTTCTCATGAGTGTTCAAACAGACTAGGTTCTCTTGGGTTCAGTTTCCGGGTCATAACTAGGCACAGGTTTGCATCCTAATGAACCCAAGATCTTGTTTACCAGCTTCTATAGGTTCTATCTCAGAAAGCAGAGGGGAACTTACACATAGGTTTAATATGTACTGGTGTCCTAGAGAAGTAGATGCTCTGCCAAATCTGAAAATGTAAAATGTAATGCTGAAATCAAGACAGAGTTACAAGATTTACCTCAAAATTTATTCTGAGAGATATCAGAAGTAACAAACTTGAATTTTTTGATCTATATCAAATAAGTCAGTCTGGGATTGGTCACACAACCCTTCCATTCTGTAGATTCCTAGATATAACACAGGTCTCATCCACTTAGGCTTTTATTTATTTATTTATTTTTTTAAGATTTTATTTATTTATTTGACAGAGAGAGACAGCGAGAGAGGGAACACAAGCAGGGGGAGTGGGAGAGGGAGAAGCAGGCTCCTGGCTGAGCAGGGAGCCCGATGCGGGACTCGATCCCAGGACCCTGGGATCATGACCTGAGCCGAAGGCAGACGCTTAACCGACTGAGCCACCCAGGCGCCCATCCACTTAGGCTTTTAAAAAATATCTTCCAGCCACTCAGTTGAGTTCTCTCTATATCATTTAATGAGGAATCTAGACAAATTGAGCCCACACGCCATGTCCAGAACAACACAGAAGTGGCTTTTCTTCAGATCTGCCTCAGAGGAATGATTTCAAATTCAGAGCAAAGGACTTGCCCTGATACCTGGCTCAACAGGGCTGTGCTTTCTTTGTAGATGTATTTCAATTTTTTTTTAAAGATTTTATTTATTTATTTGAGAGAGAGAGAGACACACAGCGAGAGAGGGAACACAGCAGGGGGAGAGGGAGAAGCAGAGCGGGGAGCCCGATGCGGGGCTCGATCCCAGGACCCTGGGATCATGACCTAAGCCGAAGGCAGACGCTTAACGACTGAGCCACCCAGGCGCCCCAGTAGATGTATTTCTAAACCAAGAGCTGTCCTGGCTTTGTGGTGACTCTTCTGGACCGTGGGTATCTGGATAGACCTGTCATTGGAAGTGAACCAGAAAGAAAATCTAGATTTTGGCAAGTTATGCAATCCTCACAAATGTTCTTTGTGACTACTATCTTTGGTAAATTCCAATTTGCAGGCACACGTAAGCATTTTTGCAGTTAGGAAATGAGGGAAGAATGCTGAAATGCCTTTGGAAATAGAATCACTGGGATGTAGGCAATGACTCTTGCTATGGAGAGGAGGATGACACCATTGTTTCTAGCTTGGGCAAGTGGTGGATGATAATGCCACTAACTAAGGCAGGGAACACAGGGGTGAGGGGGGTGGTAATAAGCACCGTGTTTGTGCACACTGGGTTTGGAGGGCCAGTAGGACTTCCAAGTGGGAATGTCTAACTGGTGTTCAAAATGTATTTCAGGATTTCTAAACCGAAAATATGGGATATAGACTTGGGAGTCACCTGTCCACATTTAGCAGGTTATTAAATCTTGTGTGTGAATGAAATCATCCAATAGAAAGTATAGACTGAGAAAAATAAGAGGTTAGAGGTCAAAAACTTGGGGGACACAGTTACATTTAGGAAATGGATAGGAGATGAGCCGGAAGAAGTTGCTGCCAAAAATATAAGAGAGAACCAGGAAGGAGGGCCTCTGGAGGTAAGGCAGGGAAGTGTGGTCAACAATGACCGGTAGAGCGGGATCAGAGGAGCTGCTGGACCTGACAGTGCAGATCCAGAAACCCATCCGAAACCTGTGGGCCCATGCTTCAAAATCCAGCAGTTTCTAGATGTTAGAAAGGTAAAACAGAGCATATACCAAATATATTAATATGTCTGCAGTAAGAAGTATGAATAGTTATACCATACCAGATGAATAAAAATTGTAATTAGACTTAGGTCAGGTCTAGTCAGGTTTTGCTGCCTAATTAGTACAGAAAAAAGCTAAGTTTTCGGAGCATTTGGACTTGAGAGCTGTGGATAAAGCACTGTGGATCCACTGTTGCAGGAGGTCAATGAAGAGGAAGCCAGACCACAGCAGATGAAGATACAATTGAGAGACCAGAAGAAAAGGCAGATAATGTTTCTTGATTATAGGAATGAGATCAAGGGAAGGATGGTTTGAAGGAGAAGCCACATTGAGGAAATGATTATTATTTTTAGGCTGTTGGAGCATTTGAATTGTTCTGTAGGTGAAGAGCAAGGAAATCATGGATAAATGGAAATATGGACTAATGGAGAAACATGTAAGATAATAGAAATAATGGAAGGTAAAAGACTCTAGAAGAGAGGGTGGCCCAATGGCACAAGTAAACCTTGGAATGTGGCCTCCAAACAGGTGGGAGACATGCTTCCTCCTAGACTGGACCTAAAGGTACAAGGTTAGAATAAAGGAACAGGGAATTCAGAGATGAAAATTATGTATAGTCCATGTGTATTACTTTTCCAAGATAATCAGTCTCTTTGTAGCTTATTGTGGGAGTAAACCTCATTGAAAACTTCGTATTCCCCCATCTTTATCAGAGAATAACAGATGAATTTCTCTCATCTACTCAAGCAAAACATTCATGTTCATTCATTTACATTTGTCCATATTAGACATTTCCATTCATAATTGTCTTGGTTGAATTTTTCTTTGGATTGGTGTACTTTATTCAAAAAGACAGTAATATAATTGGTCAATATAAATGGTAAGTTGGCTAATATAAATGAGTCTAAAAATATGCCAATATTATATATTAATTACATATATTTATTATAAAAATATTCTTATAAGGAAATCAAAACTGCCTTCTCATATAAATTGTCATTATTAATACACAAAGTTTCTCTCCACATGGATGATTTAGATTTTAGGAATCATGCTTTTATTCAGTTTAATATATGGAGGAATGCCACACAGGGAAAAAGAAAAAAAGTTTTATTTCTTGGAGCAGCTCTTGACCAAGTAAGAGAATGATTCATATCCCTTTCCTGTGAATATTTCTGTTTCTTTCCTTTCCACTGATTTCACCTGCTTTAGAAAGTCTGCAGTGACAGTTTATTAAATCATCACTTCATGGTTAAAAAGTGCCAATTGCAGCAGCAGGAATCCACATTACCCTGGCCTACATTCCACAGTAAACGAAAGCAGGCAGCGAGTAATGTATTTACAGTACGGCGGATTTATTGGTAGCACATTTTTTCTCTGCCTCTCCTTAATCCCAGCTCCTGTCTGTATAGTTGAGAACTGCAGCCTTTTAGGGTAGTTAGAAACTACAGGCCGCTTTGTATGGCCATGATCTTCACACAGCCAAATCAAAGTCTTTCACCCTCCAGATAAACATTTAGTTTGATTTACAACTGGAAATTTCTCATATTTTACCCTTCGAATCCCCAAAAACACTACATAGCAGAGGGCAAATGTTCACTATTAGGTTAAGTTTTTTCTAATTTTTGTGGACCACTGATCTTTTTGAAGTTTTTTTTTTTTTTAAGGTTTTATTTATTTATTTGACAGAGACACAGTGAGAGAGGGAATACAAGCAGGGGGACAGGGAGAAGCAGGCCTCCCGTGGAGCAGGAGCCCGATGTGGGGTTCCATCCCAGGACGCTGGAATCATGATCTGAGCTGAAGGCAGACACTTAACGACTGAGCCATCCAAGTGCCCCGAAGTGGGTTTTTTTTTCTTATAAAAATTCAAATGTTCAAGTTCCTGTGGATGTTATCTTTTAGCTCATAAAAGTTCAAATTGAGTCAAGATCCTACTTTCTGTACCAAATTCCACAACTATAACTTCATCAGGACTTAGAGGTCTAGACTAAGAACACATGTGATATGCAAGTTAAATCTGATCTCCAAAAGCAGTACAAAGAGAGTGTCAGTTCTTTATAAACTATACACTAATGGGGAAGTAATGCTTGGTCAAAAGCAAAAGCTTTCCTTGTCTTTTTCTGAGGTAGAACTCTAGCCTGAATCCTATTTTTTTTCCCCAGCATCATTTAAGATGCAAGAAAATTACAGTGTCTACCAAAGGGATTCTGGTACTTACCACACCTTCATTGTGGTAGGAAAACCTTTCAGCAAGACAGTAGGACTGAGAAGGACCTCTTTATGGGGAAACTGAGCCAAAGAAGCACTTTACCTTGCTCCTGGAAGGAGACTTTGTCATAGAAATCTGGTGCTAATAATAGGCGAATTACCTTGGTATTTTCCTCAGTGAGAAATGAGGTGTCAGATTCGCAGCCTACTGTTTTATTTTGCCAAAGTAAATTCTAAAAATGTACTGGGTATCAGGGACCAACTGTAAGTAGGTCTCTTTTAGCTGACATTTTTGTCCCTAGTTGTCATACTCTTATATGTCAGGAGGCCCCGAAACCTAATCTACCAGAAGCCACATCACTAAGAATGACAAAATGGTAGCATTTATCTAGCATTGACTAGTAACAAGCACTCTCATAAACTTTACATGTGGTGACTTCTAATGATGGGTAGATTCTTCTTGCTCCATTTTCTCCCCAGAATAACTATGAGTGCCTTTTAGACTAAAACTTTGTTCTCCTCTTAGATATTCAAGAATTTGCCTTTCTTGTGGTCTCCCTTAATTTATAGGCCATTTATGCCTACATTTTCTAGGATAACATATTTTTCATTGCTCTCAATGGACTTTTAATCTGAATATCAAATGGCAGCTAACCACCTCAGGCAAAAACTGATTTTCTGGTTTTCCTTCTTTTTCTTTTTTTTTTTTTTTTAAGATTTTATTTTTAAGTAACCTCTACACCTAGTATGGGGCTTGACACAACCCTGAGATCAAGAGTCGCACGCTCTACTGACTTGTGTTTAATGACATTAGTTATTTCCTCTTTTTTCCCCCCTCAAGGGAGGCTTCATAAAGAACTGTGACCAATTTTGTTTAACTGCCACAGAACCTTCCTTACACAGTGACTTTTTTCATTTTGAAGAAAACAGTCATCTTCTTGGCTTTACTCTTCAGCCATTGTGAAAATACCTTTGCTTTATTCATGTTTTCCAGGATATTTTATCTGTGGGTTAGGTTTCATGCCAGATGTGGCATTTAGAGTACAGTGTTTTATAATCTTTTTCCTTTCAGTTCCAAGAGATGTGCTCCTTCCCCCTAAACCAGACCCTGAAGTCTCTCAGAGCGAACCTGGTAAATAAATAGTTTTATTTTCCCCGTTAGGAAGTGTGTTTTTCAAAAAATATTCTTGAGATAAATACATTTTTTAATCATTGTGATATGGAAGAAGTTTGGAGAAAATTATAGATATAGAATGTGTATTTTCTTTTGGTGAAGATTTAATCTTATAATCTGCTTGAATTTTTTGTCTCTGGTTAGAATGAAGGAATAGTATATAGTTAGTTTTCCATGGAAGTGTTTCCATTGAAAAGGAGATCATGCTAAAATTATAAGACATGCTTATTAACTGAGCCAACCACTTTTTACCTTCTTTCAAAATGTAAATAGAACTACATTCCAACTGTGGGTGTACTTTAAGTCAAAAATGTGCATGCCTACTCAGAAATTTTTCTCAAAGTCACAGTGAATGAGATCTTTAAAGTTTTAGCTAAACTAAGTTTCCTAAGTGGCATCTAATATATAGAATTCTCTCATATTTATTATGATTCTTCAATAATGTTTAAATGTTCAAATAGAAACACACAAATGATGTTTACTTCACCAGGTAGTAATTTCCATAAATATATTTCCTTGATTTGCTTTTGGCCTAGTTCTGCAACCTGTTACCTTTAGAATTGATCCACCAGAGACAACAATAGGTAATGGCTTTCCCCTACCAACCAACTCTAATAGTTTTCTTTGCTACCTTCCAATTGCAGGTCTTTCTCAACTTACCATACTGAAACATCATCTCTTCTCAATCCACCTCATCATCTCATTCTCATTACTCTTACTCTTTCCAAAATAGAAGAGCGATGGCTTCACTGTTGTAAAGGCTTTGCTCTGAAGACCAACTTAAGACAACTCATTACCTACCTCATTACTTCCGTGTTCAGAACAATTCCATGTGCTCATGCCCATCTAGTTAACATTTTCTGCATGTTTAGTGGTTCTCAGCTGTAGTGTTACAACACACTAGCATGTGACAAGTTATGAAAGGTTCTGGCAAGCAATTATTATTAATGTTGGTCAAAATACTAAACTTTGCCAATGCTTAATTTTAAAAATAAACTTGAGGAGACTCCAGATGACCGCTACAAGAATGAATATTTTCACTCACTTTGTAATCCTGTGTGTCCTTGTGGATGGGAAAGAGAGACAGAGCTACAGCTGACAGACCAGGACTGTTTTTAACTCATACCCCATCTTAACCAGGGATGGTCATGAAGAGTGTCAAGCCCCGACTGTTATTTTTTATCTGTCCTGGTGGGGAAAAAAAAACAGTTGAGAACCATTATTCTTATATTCCACAGTCATTTTCCTGAAGGTTCTGTGTACATCTAACTTTCTTCTTCATGACCCACCTAATGTTTTCCTTTTTCTGTTTCAAATGAAGGAATCTCGTGTAATATTATTCTGGCCTGGTGCTGGCTTTTGCATCTGAAGATTGACAACGCTGGTGCTTTTCTTTTGCAGCTCCTTTAGAGACACGAGGCAGCCCTTTCATACCCATGATTTCACCAAGTACTACTAGTGAAGAGGAACTGCAAGCCACTCTGGGTAAATTTTGATTTCATATTTCAGTCCAATGAGGACCTACCTTTTAGGGATTGCCCTTGAAATAGCTATGCGTGCATTGTGTTTATGGGATGTTTCCAAACAATAGAGGGTCTCTTTTTACCGTTATTAAAAGACATCCATTTCACTTGATTCTTTTACATTAACTGTATATTTGTCCTTCTAATATTTATGCTGGTTTTCAATAGAAATTAGAATATTTTAAAACATCTTGACAAAATTTTAACTTTTCTAAAACGAAGAATATTCCCACAGTGTATCAGTGCTATACTTTTTGGTTGCTTTTTTTCCATATTTGAAACTGCCCTTGGGAAGAAAAATTTCATTTTTAATTCATTGAATATTTTATGGGTGCTAAGTAAAATGCTAAGCAATGGGAGTTCCAGAAAAGAAACTGTTTTAAGGGTGAGTCCTGACTCTGGAGAGCTCAGCATCTAATATGAAGAAACAGGATCAATGATAGTAGTGCTTCCTCAGTGCCCTGCAGTGCGCTGTGTGTGATGTTTTCATTTAAGCCACACAACAGTTGCCCCATTTACAGATTACAAAATTGAGGCATAAAGAGGTTTAAAAATTGGGCCCAGTCACACAGCTAATGTCAAAGCTGGATTGGAACCCACATATTCGGTCACCTGAGCTCCTGGGATTCACCTCAGTGTTGTACAAACGAGTGTGATAGAGAAATGAGCAACATGTTAAAGAAGCCAACTACTGGGTGCATCAGGGGACGCTTTACAGAGGAGGTGATATTTACCCCGAATTTTCAAGCTGGAGTGAGAGTTGAAGTTAAAGATGTGAAAGGTTCTTTCAGGTTAAAGACAGATGGGAGAGAGGCAATTCAGAGAATGGTGGTCAGGCTAATCTGATGAGCACATGACTTGCCTGGAAAAACGAGCATGGCTAGATGCAGCAGGAAGGTTGGTGGGGATGAGTGGTCCATGCTTTCAGGAGTTCAGTACCAACACATTCACAGCATGGAAAACCCCAGTTTGCCTGACCCTCGATTGAAAATGAATCAGAAAACAAGAATTTCCAGCTTGTGTTTGTTGATTCCTTGGTTCCTCTGCCCTGTCCACAATGCATCTCACATGGCTGTGTTTAAATCAGTGGCCTTATTTTCCTCCTTCCATCCCTTTTCAAGTAAATCTATCCTTTGTGTGTGTCTACTGAGATGCAGTTACTGATCACATTTCAAAAGGAAATCCTTTTTAAAGGAACAAATTTAAAACTGAGCAAGTACACCCTAATTTCCAAACATTCATCTATTCTAGCCATACTCCACAAAGTGAACATCACCCATGACAGCGAAGTCAAAAGTACTTTTCAAGAACCACTGCTAGATATGCTGTCTAACTTCTACTCTCTATTTATTTTAACGTACCTTTGTTTATTGAAGCAAGAACCATCACCTGCCAATGGTCACAAGTATGTCTGTTATGAGCAAAATCCAGATTATAAAGCAGGGCAGAAAAAAAAGGTGACATTTGTATTCTATGCCCCAAGTATTTTCTTGGATACAGGGTGTGGTAAAGTGGCAAAGTATAATTTGCTATGTTTATATGATGCTGTGATGACTTCGAGATAATACGGGAGTAGAAGTAGTGCCACACTTATTTTTTTTTATTTTGCCAGGAAAAATGTGTATGTCAATAAACTTTGACTCTCACATCACATAAATAGAAGAATGTTTATCCTCATATGGTGTAAATGCACCTGTTTTCATACAATGTATTTCTTTTCCAGCTCATATAAATAACTTGTGGAGTTTATGGAATAGAGAGGAGGCATGAAGACAGTAATGTATGAAAACAGTTAAGAGGCACAGTTTGAGAACAGCCATGTCCGGGATCATGAAACAGTAATCGTGAACTCAAAGCTTTTGGAAATCCTTATAATAACCACTAAAATAATAGAGCAAGAAAATAGCAAATATAATAAATGAGTTATTAAAATGTACCTTTAACTTTGAAATTTTGTGATGACAAGGCTTACTTATAAAAGCAATTTCCCATGGGGTGGGGAAAAAAAGTGTGAGGTTTTTTTGACATGTTCATGATGATAATTACTGAAAGCCAGCCATCTTACTGTGTTTTTCCCCAGCAGAAACAGACCAATCCACCCAAGGATTCTTCACAACTAGGATTCCACTAACAACTGAATTGGCAAAGACAACTCAGGGTAATGCTGCTTCCCCACTTCTGCGTAGTAAACCATTTATTTTCATTTTTATTCAGGAAAGAAATTTTCTTTTCAGAATGTCAGTTTTCATCACAGTGAATTAGTTTTCTTCGTTTTGTAGGTGCAGGACATCCGCCGAATAGGAATATTTATATGTACATCACTCAAATGTAGGGAAGACCGTTTCTTTATTTAGAACTTTGCATTTGAATGTCGGGTTGACCATGTGATGCTGAGAATTAAGAATGAAAGCCTCCTCTCACCATGCTTTTTTAGTTTGTTTAACCTCCATTTGCCTCATTTTCCACATCTGATAAATAAGAACCTGTGTTAGCTTTTTTCTCCTCCCCATTCTCCTCCCTCTCCCCCACCCCCTCGCACTCTCTCTCTGCCTCCCTCTGTCCCATCTCCTCTACTCCATAAGGGCATTGATACTGTAGCCTGAGGAAGGAAACTTGTAAGGAGAAGAATCAATTTTTAAAGATGACTTAATATTTAAACATCGAGGGAGGGTTTGGGGAAGATGTCCTTTTATTTCTTCCTTCCTACTTCTTGGGAAATGAACTTGCCTACACAAAGCTCTATCTCATGTTCTCAGTAGTGTATCCTTTTTGTATTTTTCTATCCTACTTAGCTTATAACCAGTTGTGGATTTCTGGGATTTTTGTGGATTTTTTTTTTTCTTTCTGTTCTAAATGATCCCTTTTGTTCATCTCTACATCTTTCATATGGTAGGAAGTCTAAAACACAAAAGTAAACTTTTTTTTTAGGAGTTGGAAGACACATTTATTTTATTTATTGTCAGTTATAATTTGTAGAGAAAATCTGGTGTAAGAAATTTGAAATAATAAAAATTATTTAAAAAATATAATTTTAAGGTATTTTATAATAAGAGCAGTACATATTCTAAATAAACATGACTAGAGCACTTTATGGCATAGGATAGTTCTTGTAAATTTTCTCAATCTTTTCTTACTTGTTTTGTTTAATTTTTTATTATGTATTAAATGTTTATTACTTACATTGTTACCTTTCTATTTATTAACTTTTTATTTATTTATAAATCCACACAGAAGAAACCTAATATAATGGCAGCCCTCCCATGTCTTCATGACCAGCTTCAACCATTAACAACAGATGGTCAATCATGTTACATCCATAACACACCCTCATTTTTGTATGTTTATTTTTTTATGTTCTTGCTTAATAGAAGCAATTAATGTCTTAATAGAAGATAGTTGATTCTCATAATGAAATACATTGTTTTTGCAGCAAAATATATAAACATTTATAATAAGCAACATAAAAAAGACTGTTCAGTTCAGGTTGTGTTGCCAGATGAAGAAAAGATTTCAGCTTTTTAAAGCGTTATAGATTTCAGAATTGAGAATAAAAGATTGGAGGCCTATTTTTTCCTTGCTTTGCTTTTTCTTACTTTAATGGGAATGTCAGTACTTATTAGTGTATGTGGAATTTTTATCAAATTCTTTCTAGAACATGGTTCTACTAGACAGGAATTTTATAGTTGGTGGGGTGTATATCCAGGATCTGATATCATTATATGAAATGTCTTAATATATCTATTCAATGTATTCTATGTTCTGAGGTTCATTAGCTTGAGCCTAAACTGTGCTGCCCTAGGACTCATACTTTTCTAGGCTTGGACCAAGGATCTTTAGAGTGAGTTCACCAGGGATTCACTGGGATGAGGCGACAAAGAACACCCTAGGAAAGAACCCATCTTAAGGGTGGGAGTAGCATTAGCCATCTGGTCCAGCCCAATAGGCCTGCATTACCAAGAGGGTCCACTTTCACAAAGGCATGCTGTGCGTCCCTAGATCACCCTCATCAAACCCTCATAAATGTGTGCCTGAGCTCTGTGGAAGAGGAAGTCAGCTGTTTTGTTGTGTTTTTAGCATCAGGCATCAGAGACGTAAGACAGCACACAGCAAGTTGAGAGAGGTGCTAGGGGGTGAAATGACTCCTCTTGGTCTTCACACTCTCCCCATGCATGGACCATGACCTGTGTGGCTTTTTGATCTCTAAACCCTCCACAATGGGAGCCAAGTGCTCCAAAGAAATTTTGTGCCTAAAACCTCTGACATAGAGCCTGCTAGTAGAATCTCCAACCCTTGTTCTCTGGGACACCCTTGTTCCGTTGTCTACTAAGTTCCTTGCAGCACGCCATAACCCAAAACCTGAAATAGTCAAACTCTTCTTTGCCTTTCTCACACTGTAATAGAAATCCACTTGACTAGACATACTATGGGGACACTGTTTATTTTACTTATTTCCGCTCCCTTATCCCTGCCCCACCCCAGGGAAAGTTACATCTTCCTTACCCTCTCCCTGTGCTGGGCAGAACATGACAACTTCAAGGTGTTTCTCCTATAATCCTGTTTGTTTCATTTTGATGTTATCGTCATGCAGTGTTTTTTAATGCTCTTAAATAGATTTTTATAAAACTAGGTACAGAAGCATCCTTTAAAATTACTAGTCATTAAAAACTATGTGGACATATGTTCACAAAGCACTTTTTTTTGTTTCAGTTTAAAATTAAAGCCCTAGAGCAGTTTTCTCAAGGCCACGTGTTATTCAGTGATGAACTATATGAGTAATTCACAGTCTGAACTTAAGTTATACTCCAGTGCTTGTATGAAAAATTCTGTCTAGATTTAAGTAAAGATTGTGGGGAAAAAATAAAGCAAAAATTCTGATCCTATGAAATAGGCTTTGAAATACTGAGTGTAGTCCTGATTATTTGTGTTATTTATTTTCTGTGTTCTGCTTTATATCCCTTTCCTGTCTAAAGTTTTAAAACTCATATTTGTCCTAGGAGACTAATAACCATGATCCTTGTATTTCTTTAAGCTAAAACAATCTAACATTGAAGAAATTAAGATGAAAAACTGAAATAGATTCAATTCACAGGGACTCCTACCACTGTCAAAGAGAATTTTGAAGAAAAACATTTGCAAATCATCATTACACCATTTGAGGGTATAATGAGAATTAATTTTTTATAACATCAGTACCTCTGTTCACTCTAGCTGCTACATTTTGAAAGGTCCACACTAAACCTACAGAGAATTTCAGTATGCATCTGCTGTTTTTGGCCTGAAGTATGGCAAAATTCTGCTCATCACTCTTCACATTGGAAGCTTATAAATGAGCTACAGTATAATCTGTTTCACAGGTGTATTTTTTTTTTTAACTTGGTAGGCAAGGCATTGCTGATTTATGGTTATATAAATACCCACTCAAGATGTGAACAAAATCATCAAAATGATGTAATCTACTTACATAGTTTGCAAGAAAAATTTTTTCCAGTCTTAGCTAAAGCATTACCAGGAGAGTTAGTGGTAAGGAGGCAGTGAGCGCGGAGAAGAGGGAAGGGAAAGATGGAGGAATTCCAGGATGAAAACACACTTTAAAATCTTAGGAAGCGGGCGCCTGGGTGGCTCAGTTGGTTAAGCGACTGCCTTCGCTCAGGTCATGATCCTGGAGTCCCTGGATCGAGTCCCGCATCGGGCTCCCTGCTCGGCAGGGAGTCTGCTTCTCCCTCTGACCCTCCCCCATCTCATGTGCTCTCTCTCATTCTCTCTCTCTCAAATAAAGAAATAAAATCTTTAAAAAAAAAAAAAATCTTAGGAAGCAAAAGTATTTCAGCTCAGTTTCTCAAGAATTTGCCTGCCTACATTAGTCACTCATTTTTTAAATTTATTCAGCAAGTCTTCATTAGGAGTCCTCACCGTGCCAGGCCCTGAGTAACAGGAGCAGGAAGTGACAAGGTGGTATGTTGCTCCCAGGGCCTGTCCCAGTTCTTGCTCCTTGCTCTCTCTCTCTTGATAGGCAGGGCAACAGAAGTCATTGTCTCCCATTCCTAAAGCTTTAAGGGATAGGACTAAGCGAGTATTCATTTCAGGGTTCATGAACTAGGACAGTTTGATAGAGACCACGTGTTCCCACTCTTTCAACCTACCTAAAAATATATACTTTTTTTTTAATCTTTAAGATTACTGCCTTCTTTGGCAAAATAATGTTCCACTCTGACTTCCCAATTGAGAGATATGGATGGATGGATGGCTAGTTGGCTTATGTGTTTACCATGCTAAGCAACCGTTGGGTAAAATAAATGCCCTTGAGAAAGATGGACTAAATGGAGACTAATCCTTGACATACATTACAAATGACTTATCCCACTCTGTGTGCCTTTATTTCCAGTCATGAATGTGTTTGCTTGTTTTACTTTCCTTCAGCAGCAATGCTGTAATGCATAATTGCAGGTTTCAGAACATCCTTTCCACTTCTATGCAATGTGTATGAGTTGCTGGTCCCTGGGATGCTAAATCCCATTTAATGGAATGTTGGTTATTAAATACGAAGCCTTTCCTCTGTTTCAGCACCACACAGATTGTATACTCCTCCTGTGAGGCCCAGAATACCAGACAAAGCACACATCAGACCCAGTAAGTTGTTTCTCTTTCCAGTGACCTAAATAACCAGCACACCTGAGAAGGTATAAAATGTGTTGAAACAGCAACATACACCAAGGGAGGGAAATATATCTCTAAATGGCAATAAAGGATGTGCAGAAATTCAGATCCTTGTGGATAAGTGGAGAGGAAATGATGAATCCATGGTAATGATGAGATGTGACAAAGGTGTTTAAGGATGACCAGATATAAAGACTCCCTTGGAACTTTATCAATAGAGAAGTATTTTTAGAATAGCATTTGTGTGTAAATCTCACACATACTCCTTCAGTTTTCCATGGCAATTATAGGAATAGCATTAGAGTCAGCTGTGCAGATACTACTAGCTCTCAAATGTTATTGAAGAAGAGATGGTCTCTTCTAGGATAAAAGACCCTTGTTCTGGGAGAACATTTTTCCTTGATTCCTCCAGATGATAAAACACACACACACACACACCACACACACATTTTACAGGTCATATACAGTAAAAATGATAATTAAGCATTGGAAAATACTTTACATTTATTGAATTCTCCAAAAGTTCTAGGATCTCCCTCACTGGAGCTTGTTAATGAAAAGTTAACTTGGACAGGTTGATTTGGTTCATGTAAATTGCTCCTATGCTAAAGCATAAGTTGGACCAAAGACACTGACATTTTCTGTCCTTTTGTTGCTGCAATTCTAAGTCTTCTTAAAGTTCTAAATAATGAAGCTGCATTATAAATTAATGTTCTTTGTGTACATCTCTTCAGGCATGTGGGAAAAGAAACAATTATTTTTATCCTTTGGTTTATGGAGAGTCCATGTGTTTTTTGTTTTTTGTTTTGGGGGGCTTTTTGCAGTAATTTTTCCAAGACCTAAAGGTAATTAGGCACAGACATCTTTTATAAACAAATGTATCTCCATGTGCCTTCTGTACCATGATAGCTGTTGAGAGCTTAATGTGTGGCTGGTTATATTAAAGGTTTCTATAAAATAATGAAACTGTAACAATAATGGCTAACACTGACTGAGGGTTTGCCATGTGTCTTGTGGGGTACAGTTGAGGAAGCCAAGGCATGAGAAGAGCTAGGAAGTAGATTTGAAGGCAAGCAATCTGGTCCAGAGCTTGCGCTCTCAACCACAATATACTTCATGCTTTTTCTTGAAGAGTCTTCCAGAGGCTAAGGCAGGTTACCTCTTAAAGTGCTGGTAATGCTCTGGCTCTTCATAGAGCAGGAGAGAAATTAAAATGATTTCATCATACTCTATGTTCAACAATGGACTTGTACCAGGTTAAGAGGGAACACCTGTATGTGGAGACCCCTGCAAAAGACGCATCAACTTATGAGTTATGAATTAAGACCTTGGCATATAAAGACACTTAAAGTTTTGGTTTTTCATTGGGTGTATAGGTAGTCCTGATCTTTCTTCAGTTCTGTTTTGGAATGTATCTAGTGCTTAGAAATTAAGTGAGGGATTTCCCATTTAGACATATAAATTCCCTTGCCAGTTAGTTCTTCAAGCCAGTGGTTACCTCAGAGTAAAAAATCAGGTCTCTCTTCCAAAATCAAGTCTATGATTTTTAAACTAAAATTGTGGTTTCCATATTCTAAGCAATAGTTTTTGATGAGCGATAATTTTTCTGTTGCCTAGTTAAATGACTTCCAATTCTTGGGGAACTTTTGTTTGCCTTGGTTGCAAAGTTTTAACAAGAACATTTCTAACCTATTTATTTCCCACTTTATTGTAGTTCTGAATAAGACAACTATAAGACCTAGTAGACTCAAACCCAGTAGGACTCCCAAAGAGAATGGAATGGGAACAGGTAATGATCACAAATTTATTTCCTTTTGATCCTCTCCAAACTCGAAATGTTTTCATTCAAAATTTGTACATTTGTTGAATTCACACTTCAATTTCTTTTTACCAGTTTTGGAAGTTCTTAATAGAACTGGAATTGGAAATTGTAACTCATTCCAAAATCAAAATTTGCAGTGTCTCTGAAAACACTGAATAAGAATTTTTCTTTTCTAAACTCAGTCCACTAAATCATATATAGTCTTGATTCTTGAAAATATCCTGATTAAATATATTTTTTATATATATTTAATATATAATATATTATAAATATATTTATATAATGTATAATATGCATTATTGAATGAAAATATCAAAATAGCTGTTTTCTCTAATTTCAGAAACACTTTCCATACATAGGCTCAGTCTTCAAGACTATAATCACTTTGTTTTTAAGTTGGTAATTTCACGAGTACCATTACAATTTTTTTATAAGACCTGCATTTGTTGGCAGTGTGGAACATGATATTCTAACAAGAGAAGCTAGCAGTTGATCATACTGGCTACAGGCATAGTAACATTTCCAAATCATTCAGCTTAATTCAGGAATTAAATGACATTGCCTTAATCCAGCCAGATCTGTGGGAGTAGGAGTCATACAGATAACTAAGACAATCATCTGATAAAAGTTCAAACACCTCACTCACTAAGTGGATAAATGGTAGTTATGAGATGCCCTAATATGGGATTGCATCATTTCCTTGCTTTACTTACTTACTTACTTACTTACTTATTTATTTATGAGAGAGAGAGAAGAGGGGAGGGACAGAGGGGGAGAGAGAGAGAATCTTAAGCAAGCTTAATGCCCAGTGTGGAGCCCCATGCAGGTCTCGATCTCACGACCCTGAGATCATGACTTGAGCCAAAACCAAGAGTTGGACACTTAACCAACTGAGCCACTCAAGCACCCTGCAATATTTTTTTATAGATTTATTTATTTGAGAGAGAGAGAATGAGAGAGAGAGAGCACATGAGAGTGGGGAGGGTCAGAGGGAGAAGCAGACCCCCCGCTGAGCAGGCAGTCCGATGCGGGACTCGATCCCGGGACTCCAGGATCATGACCTGAGCCGAAGGCAGTCGCTTAACCAACTGAGCCACCCAGGTGCCCCTGCAATATTTTTTTAAATAATACAAATCATGTGCTTGCTTATGAAAAGAGCATGGAAATTAGAATTTCATTAATGCATATTTAATGCATGATGGTTCCCTAATGAGAGTGAGATGTGAATAATACCTGAAGATATTCGGTCTAAAAATCATTTAGATTTGTTTTAAAATGTTTTTTCTACTAGGTTTTTACAGTGTGTGAAGTCCTAGGAATCCACTTTCCTTCAAACCAATCAATGAGGCAATTACTATAAATCCCTGACTCACGAAAAGCAAGAAAGCATTCCAATATTTATTTGTGCTCAGCTCTTCTTTTTATTATTCCCAACTGTGGGATTAGGCAATGCATAGTTTCTCAGATTGACATAAATAATCTTGCTCTAAACAGAACCACCTTGTTAATAGTCAAAGCACTTCCCTGGAGTTTGTCCAAGTAAAAATAGAAGAAAGCATTTGTGTCAACAAAGCAAATGAAAGAACAGGTAGCAAACTTGAAAGTGATTAACTTTCAGTGTAATCAAGTACTGATTCTCACTAGGAAAATGCTAATTGTCTTCCAGAAGGAAAACAGCATTATTATAAGTTTATCTGCAATATAAACATTTCTTTCCAGAGCCCCTTGTAACACAAACTGACATCTATTACCCTTTTGTGTAGATGAAATCAACTTTGTAGTATTAGCTCATCTAGTTAAACTGTGGAAGAACGTCCTCTTAACAGAGCTTCATTTTAATTGTTGGTTGCTAGTAGAAATGGGCTGGTGAGCACAGGTAGACAAAGCTGAGCTCAGTTCCTGCCTCCCTTGCTCTACTTCCATCCTCCAACCAAAATGCATTGCACCCATTCTATTGTCTGTTGAGATTCCCCTTTGGGGAATGCTGCCCATCTGTGGGGAATGAAGTCAGCAGACAGCATCCTCTTTCAGCTCCTTCAGAATCAGCCTCAGCTGAGAGAGCTTTGACTGGGGGTCAGGGTGATACATCTCTGGGTCTACTACAGATCACATAACAACCAAATGATATTTGCTTCAGGAATGCAAGTTGGCTCAACATTCAAACAAATTTGTATAATTCACCACATTAACAGAGAAAAGGAGAAAAATCATACCATCACCTCAATAAATACAAAAAACAACCATTAGACAAAATTCAAAATCCATTCATGATGAAAACTCTCAGAAAACTAGGAATAGAAGGAATTTTCCTCATTCTGATAAAGGATATCTGTGAAAAACCTGCAACTAACATCATACTTAATAATGACAGTCTGAATGTTTTTCTCTTCACATCAAGAACACAAGCATTCCTACTTTTACCACTTATGCTGAAAAGAGTAGTGGGGTATTCAGCCAATGCAATAAGGCAAAAAAGGAAGTAAGTGGTATAAAAATTGGGAATCATAGATGACATGTAGGATATAATGAATGGAAAATTTAATAGCTCTTGGACTATTTGCTTAGGGAATAAGGTCTTTAAGAATTCGTGAGAAAAAGAGTATCTTAAAATCTATTCTCTCCAGATTACTGACTTACGTGAGTCTACCTTACTTTGATTCTTCATAGTTTTGTTCTGGCTTGTTTACCAGAAATGCAGGTATTTACATTAAGTTTATTTTCTCCTCTGACCCAGTCCCCCTATCTCATCCACACTTACTTCTCGCTTCTATTGAGTTTTAATGAGACTTAATTTTTGTGTCACCTGATTCCTAATCAACTTTGACATCTTGCCCAGAATATTTATCTTTATTATTCATCCATCTCACAGACATTTTCCTGCAGTTTTTCTTGCTAAAATTTTTAGCCCAGATATTTTACATTAAAAAGAAAAATCAGTTGATAAAGGAAGTGTTTAGGATTTATAGGACATATTCTTCATGGTTTTAGGCCACTTAAGATTGTGCCCTTGGAAGACTCAAAAAGAGATTCTGAGGCCTCAAAACAATGGACCTTTGATTATTTAGGCCTCTATAAAAATCTTGCAATGATTTCATAAACCCCAGGAATCTCTAAACCATCTTGAGCCAGGTTTCTTATTTCATAACATCATTACAGATATTTGCCCAGCTTTATATGCATTTCTTAGCTATATTTGTAAATATGCCTCCACTTCAAAGTCTGAAATTAGCCTACAAAGTTTGAGGTTGTACGTAGGTCATTTTTCCAGCACTCTGCTTTTAGAGGTTTTCCAGAGATGTGTTTAGGCTTCACTGATGTGTTCTAAAAATTACAGCCAACTTGAGATCTACACTGCAGAGAGGCAGGAGGCATGCACTAGACCAGGAGATCACACAGGCTATAGTCCCACAGGCCAAATCTGGCTCATGGCCTATTTTCATGAATAAAGTTTTGTTGAAACATAGCCTGCTTTCATAATAGAATGGTAGAGTGGAACAATTGTGACAGAGAGAGTATGGTCCACAAAGCTGAAAATGTTTACTGTCTGCCCAGCACAGAGTAGGCTAAATTCTTCCATCAACAGTCAGTCTCCAACTTTTTCCTTGTAGAAGGAAGCTGCTGAGCTGTACAGGTACTCTTTCATCCAACCAACATTTATTGAAGGCCCATTATGTTTCAGGCAAAATGTGGTCTGGAAACCAACTTGACACATGTGGTTTAGCAGATATGTTAAATACTTGAACCTGAGACTCCTCTCTCTGCCTCCTAATGAGGAATCCACACTTGACTGCCCCCACAGAGTGTGCCTGACAACCAGAAACCAGACTCCTCCAAGGTGAGGAATGTGTTTTTCTGGGCTGTGGCTAAACCTTCCAGTCTGCTGGCTCATCACTCCTGGCTTTGTAGCAAGGTGTTAAGATTTGGAGACAAAGACACGGAGACCAATCATGCATAAATACCACCCCTTTTTGGTCCCAGCGAGTAGTGTCTAATACATTTGGAAATGGATTTTCAGTTTACTGTGTTTGTTTGCAACATTTTTGTTACCATGGTTAAAAATACCCAAATCATTACTTCACTTTTGACAATAAATTGCTAAGGGGTAAACTATGCAAATCCAGAGATTTTTGGAGAACTCCCATATGGCAATTGGGAGGCTCATACTAAAGCTCCACTTGGTGCTTCCAGAGCCAATACTGCCCTTTCAAAAATATGTTGATTAATCCTGCCTGAGGGAAAAAGAATTCAGGTCACAGCCTGGGCCAGATTGGCTGATTAAGTGCCAATTCCTGAGAATTCTTTCTCCATAGCATCTCTCTTCCTGGCTTTGTCCTTTGCCTTCCCGTTGCCTCTCTACTACCTCTGGCCTTCACTTGCTCTCTGATTCAGAGCAAAAGAAGTTTACTGGTGTCTGGGCTCTGGTGCTCACATTGCTGCCTGGCTGACACGCAAACCACAGCAAGGTGTAGGCATGGCCAGAATCAGAGTTCATCCCCCTGTCCCAGTTCAATGCCCTGTCCCACGGATGACTTTGGCAGGGTTCTTACCAACATTTTTCTACCCTGTCAACTTTTATCTGTTTCTGAAGGCTGAAGAAAGTCCAGGTTAGCTGTTGATTGATTTGGGTACTTACATTTAAGGATCATAACAGTAAGATGCTTCTGTCTCTATCTATAAAGAAAGTGACACAAGAGCTGGTTTCTGCTGATTTTTCTCTTACTCATAAAGTGGGCTTGCAGAATTCTGGACTTTCTCCTGTATCTCCAATTGACTAGCCCCTGTGGCTTGGAGGACTTATCCACTGCCAGGATCTGCTGTTCTCTGAGCCCCACATATTAGTGGCATGGTTGGATGACATATGCTTGCCAGGCAGGGCCATTTAGACCACACACAGTGGTGATGCCTCAAACCACCCACAAGGCAGAAAGTAGGACTCTAAAGCTAAAGTCACTTAGCGTCTTTGTGAGGAATAGCAGAAGCAAGAAGCTGACACGAGGAAGACAGTACACTGTGCTATGTCACTTAGTGGTTAAGAGCTAGGCTTTAAGCTGGGCACATGTCGGTCTGAGTCCCAACACTTCCTAGCCGTGAGTTGCTTACTCTTCCCTTGCCTTGGGTTTCTTCATCTGTGGGACCTGAATGGTATCTCCCACACAGAAGGGTTGTATGGATCAAATAAGGCAATGAATATGGAAGGTGCTTTGAACCAAAATACTTTGTTTTTGTTTTTCAGTTAAAAAGATTTGGGAAAATGCTGTGAAGAAGAATCACTAAAGGCACACACAGTCTATTAGCTTTCTAGAGCCTTCTAGAATACACAATACATTTTTTTACTCTCAAGGAGTAGTGGTAAATCAGGTTTACCATGCCAGATGATCCCAGTGACACAAATGGAAGTACTTTCCCTTCCTCTGTGCCATGAACAAATGAGTCCTTTTCCAACCAAAACACCCAAATGAGTCCTTTCTCTGACCACATTACACTGAGAGTGAGCACAGGAAGAAGACTAATGAGCCCTTTGTTTTCACCATGCCTGTGGGATTAGCCACAAAATAGCCATTCACCCCAAAAACATATTCTTCCTACTACAAATAAGCAACATTTAATTCATGGCTCCATACAAACATTCTCCATGATTTTATATATTCTCTCTTAACCAAGCAGCAGAGAGTATGGGATTGCAATACTGGGGTTTATAAATTAATGTTAATTATAATTATTATAGCATTAATAATAATTATAATAATAACTGTAATGTTACTGTGTTTAAAATGTTGATTTATAATAATTTAATTTCATCATTTAATGTGCTAATACCTGATTTTTGGCAAGTAAAGCTTCTCCTGTATTTTAATCAATATTATTTTAATGTATCTGCCTGCACATTAAACAAGATCGAGTGTGTAATGTCACTACATGGTCCCTAGAACACAGTGAATAAACTTGTGATTTTGGTTGTCCTTGTTAATGTACAGACTAGTATACTAAATATTCTTATTTTTTAAGTATGTGAATTATAGTCAGGTCCTCAGAGTATGGATTTTTTTTTTTTTATGTTGGTCACCATAAAGTACTTCATTAGTTTTTGATGTAGTGTTCCATGATTAATTGTTTGCATATAACACCCATTGCTCATTGCAATACATCCCTCCTTAATACCCATCACCGGGCTAATCCATCCCCCCAGCCCCCTCCCCTCTGAAACCCTCAGTTTGTTTCCGGAGTCCATAGATTCTTGTCTGTTTGTATGGATAATGTCTGTTTCTGTTCTTTCTTAATGAAGACAGCCACATCAGGGAAGATTATTTTATAATGTAAAAGCATAACAATTCAAAAAATAAGACAAAACCTAAATTGGTTCCCCCATCCTTAGGATAGATATTCAAACTCCAAGCATGGGTATTTTGGTGAATGACTAATAACCACCAGATTATATTTGAGAGACTTAGGAGATAAAATATCATACAAAACAATTTTCAAATCAATTTCTTCCAAATAGCAATTTGGAGCTCTGTGCCTGCCCAGGACTAATTTACAAGTCTCAAAGGTACGGATCCAGTTTGTGGCCGAATCAACATAATAGCCAAGGCTTCTCCAGGAATATTTTTAAAGTCAACTTACCAAGGATAAATCCAAACACATTGGAATTTTAAGAGGTTTTAGGGGGTTATTGAAGGGGTTGGAGGAAAACTTTTTTTAAAACCACAGAATGTACTCATGAATATTGGCAAAAAATGGCCAGTCACTGAAGATGAAGTCTGCCTGGTAAGACGGTACCACCGGGAAGGCAGTACAGTGCGGGCATCATGGAAAACTCAGACAAAACCATGATCCATAATCAAACACTAACTCTTCAGAAAAACTATTACAGCTAATGAATATAGGGCTTTGAATATCTTCTATATGCAGACAGGAGAAGCCAATTAAAATGCCTGGGCACAAAAACACCAGGGCCACTGTTCCGCATTGAATGCACATTATCACTGATTACCAAGTTTCTGTGAAAAAACATCTAAGACGTTTTTGCTGTCTACTTACTCCCTTTCATTATGTCTGCTCACAGGGGTCAAGCAAGCACCAAAGCCATCAGGTGCTGGTAAAAATGTGTCAGTGGACTCCACCCACTCTACCAAAAAACCAGGTAAGGAATAAGATACTAACTCCCTTACTTTGCTCTTCTCTGCTACTGCAGTGTCAAATGTTGTAGCAAAAACAGCATCCTCACAGCTCTCAAAGAACCATGCCAACAGTACATGGGTACTGCTAAAGAAACATTCTAAAATATTATCTTTGGGGCGCCTGGGTGGCTCAGTTGGTTAAGCATCCAACTCTTGATTTCAGCTCAGGTCATGATCTCAGGGTGGTGAGATGGAGCCCAGCGTCGAGCGTCAGGTGTGGAGTCTGCTTAAGATTTTCTCTCCCTCTGCCCCTCCCCCACCCTGTGCATGCTCACTCTCGAGCTCCACCCCCCCCAAAAAAATTAAAATATTATCTTTGGGGAAATAAATAGTGCTCTGTGCACACATTAAATATTAACAAGAACCTCTAATGGGGTACTAATTCAAGAATCACTTTGGATAATGTTCTGAAGGGTCACAGTGGACAAATGCTGAAGAGTCACTGTGGGTTCTAGTTTTCATCATGTTCAAGTTTTGTTCTTGTGTGATTTACTATAATATCCTTTAGCCCGATAAGATTTATGTTCCTAATTTAAGACTGTGCTCTATATACTAAGCCAAAATTATGAAGCTGGTGACTTGGAAAGGTTTGTGTTGAGTAAGAATTCTATGCCATTTCAAAGGTTGCCATGAAACCTACTCTAGTGTATTAATGCTTGGGCTACAGAGCCATATTCTGTTATCACACTCACTCCCCTGCATGCACACAAGTGCACACTCGCTAGTCTCCCAAGAAGTACTTAAAATCACAGGGCATTTTCCTAGGTTGCCACTTCTACTTGAAGATTTTTTTAACCAACATATATTATGCAAAGAAAGACGTGAATTTTTAAGCTAGAACACAAGACTTAAAATTTGGGTTAAGGTGGATTGTTCTAGGCACCTCTAGCCTTGACAGCATTTGTGCAAAGTATGAAAAGATAATCTGTGCATAGTATTAAAAGGTATCTCTTCCCTCTGCCCTTTAGGCAGACTCTTTAGTAAAATGTGCCCTTCCTCTGGGTGGGCAGGCTTGCACCAGGGCTCACAGATGGGTGAGCAGAGTGCGTATTAAACTTCAGCTCCCACTCACATATCCCTTGCCAGGGCCCTTGTGCAGTGCACAACTGTTCATACTGACCCTGCTCTCCACAGGCACAGGCTGATTGCTTCTGCCACCAAGGCTGCTTTGTTGTAATCTTTTGAGAAGTTCTGAAAGCGTTTATTCAGTTATTATTTATAATAGATTTGGGTGGTGGGGTGGAACATCCACTAAAGGAGAAATTATATCCTTTAACAATTTAAAGCTAAAATGACCTAAGAAATTGTAGTCTGAAAATCAAAGGCAATGGGAGACGTGAAACTCAGAAAAACTGTTGTGCCTATAAGAGAAACTAAAGATGTTAAATTCTCTATATCTGTACAGTTTTAAAAGGCAGATAGACCTATAATTAGAGGATATTTTTCCCATATGTTAATGGACTTCATTATTCCTGGGTATATTACCAACATTAATTTAGAAGAATATCAGAATATATTACTCATAGACACTTTCCTATGGGATCTGTCCTCTGTCATCCACTTGGTACTTATCAAGTGTTATATTTTTTAAAACCTGACATGTTTACGGAGTGAATCCTTATGGCAACTTTATCTGTAATATAATCTCATAGCCGCAATCCCAGGCACTCGCCGCCCACCCTTGCCACCCAGACCTGTGCCCCCACGAAGAAAACCTTTACCACCAAATAACGTCACCGGCAAGCCAGGAAGCGCAGGTATGTCGCTCCTGTACCTTCTCGCTCCGCGATGCTCGTTTACCCAGACAGCCGCAAGCCCTTCTTGGCATGCTAGCTCAGGCGATAGACAAGTCCTTGGTGCATGGGACATGTGCCTGTGTTGGCCCCCAAAACTGGACCCTGTGAGTCCACTGGACACTGGGCTTCTATCCTGATTCTGGGTGCGTGTGGTCCCGGAAACCACCCCTGTGTATCTAGGCCAGTTCGCTTTTTAAACGTTGTGAGACAGAAGCTCACTCAGGCCTTTCAACAAGTGCATTATTTTGGATGAGGTACTGTACGTTGCCAACCTATAGGGGGTAATGGAAAATGTGATACCCCGTCGTCTCTTTACCATTATCTCCTGTAATGAAATCCTGTACATCTCACTGAAAGCTCCCCTGTTCACCAGCCTTCATGCTGGCCCCAGTATTACGGTACTAGCGGAGAGACTGCGGGCTAAAACATGAGCAGCTCTAGCCTGTGCAACAGGGCAAGAATATATATTGTAGAAGTCAACAGAACAGATGTTATATTAAGCATCTTTTTCCTTCTTCTTCAGCCATGATCCATGCCTGCTAGTTCTCTCCACGTCAAGCCATTCCATCTCCTTGATATCTTTCCTGTAAAACACCTTCCATATAATCCCACTGCTCCCTATGTAGTTCACCTGCTCTGCCTTTGCCTACAACAGCTGCTTTTGTCTCTTGACTTCCTTCTTGGCCACCAGACTTGCAACCTGACCATTCATCCCCTTCTCATCTCATCTTATTACTTTCCCAGTGAAAATCTTTCAGTGGGTCCTTGTCACCTAAAAACAATGTCCAAATCTATGGTATGGAAGGCCCTTCATGATCTGGCCTTTCCTGTCCTTCCACAGTCCGCTCTCACGGTACCCCAAAGTACTCTTGGCTCTCACACAACAAGTAGTCTCATGCTTCCCTGGCTTGTCTCTTCCTGCAACCTCTGCCCCAATATAGCTCTCATACCTACCTGCGGATTATTTCACTTCTTTATCGGCACAACCTCTGTGAAGACATTCCTACCCTCCCCTCACCCACCCTTCGTCTTTCCCCATAGACATTACTACTTTGTCTGCTTACTTTCTCTGTGAGCTTATCCAGTTCTTTCACAATATCTACAGTGCTTCAATATATTTGGCTCACACATCTATTTTGATCAAAGACACAAGTTTTGTTTTCTCTCCAAGCCTGTCATATAGTATAAGTGCTGAATAAATATTTATGGAATAAATAAATGGGGAACTTGCCAATGCTCCTATAAAGCCTGACTGCTTTGGCTCTCCATTACAGGAATCATTTCATCAGGCCGAGTAACTTCTCCACCCCTGAGGGCCACACTTAGGCCTACTGAAGCCCCTTCAGAGAGAACAGAGACAGATGAAAAGCAACCAACAGCTCCTGCCTCAGGAGAAGATCTTGGTGAGTATGTCAGTCACTTCACACTGGATGCTTAGCTATGAAGTGCTAAAAGATTTCAAGTTAAGGGGAAAAGAGTCTCAGTTCTGGATTATCTGTTTTATTCAATTTTATGATTAATATCAGTCCTTTGAAACTTTGAAATTATACTCATGTTTAAAGCTTTTAGAATATGGTCCTTCCCTTCAGAGACAGAGAAGAAGGTACCCAAGTTTTTTAGAGAAGTCTTCCTGAAAAGATCTAGGTTACCCAGTGTTTCTTACTAAATCAGATGTCATTATTAATCATACATATCTTGGGGTGCCTGGCTGGCTCGGTCAGTAGAGCATGCCACTCTTGATCTCAAGGTCATGAGTTCAAGCCCCATGTTGGGTGTGGAACCTAATTAAAAAATAAATCATATATTAATTTATTAATGAGTATTGCCTACTTTAATCTTTAAGTCATTATTTGGTATACTCAGAACACCTGCAGCAGGACACAATTAAAGGCCTTTTATTTTTTTTTATTTATTTATTTTTTTTTTTAAAGATTTTATTTATTTATTTGAGAGAGAATGCGAGACAGAGAACATGAG